TTGGTCTAAATCAGGTTATTGAGATGACAAGGGGGCAGTTGGAGCCGAGGTACATGCAAAAGTGAAGGGTAGTGGGAGTTGGAAGAATGAAGGTATTCTGGATGAATTTTCCTCATAAAATGATAACTCCTAACAAGTGCATTTAGGGGAGGGTCGGATCATAGTTCCTGCTAGCCTTTCCTTTTCTTTCTCACCACCCCTCTGGTGACAGTCTTGTCTGGATGAGCCTCCTTGATTTGGGCTTTCTTTACTATAGAGTTTCTGCTGCTTAAGTCCACATGCCCTTTGAGTGAAATTCTTAGATTCTGACCTCTTCAGTCCAGGTCAAACCCCATCCCTGAGGGGAGCAACGTCTTTGTCCCCAAGTTCCTGTCCTGAGCTGACCTGGGCTCCACTAAAAATTTTTTTATTGTAGTCAAATACACACAACATAAAATTTATGATCTTAACTATCTTTAAGTGTATAGTTCAATGTCATTAAGCACATTCACATTATTGTTCAACCAATCTCCAGGACTCTTTCATCTTAAAAACTGAAACTCTATACCTGTAACAGGAGGTTATGAACTAATATAACCTGTAACATAGCTGTGATGCGCCCTTCCTGCAACCTTTATACTGTCATAATGGAGACCACAATCGATAGGAAAAACTAAAAATATGACTCATGCTCTAAAATGAAGCATTGCCAAGTGTGTTAAGACTCTAGGCACTATACTAACCTCTGTTTGTGAATTTACTTCTAACAGGACACTCATCTAACAGGACACTCATCAGGACCATTCAGACGTGGTCCTCCATCTTTTTCACCTGGGAGATCAAGTCCTCTTAAAGACTTAGAAAAAACAAGGACCTGAACACCAACTTGGTTTCATTCCAGTCACCTCACATTGTCCCCATTCAGCAGGAAGTAGCCAGATGAGAGACAACGTCCCATTGTGCCTAATCACACAAGATTGTGGAGTGAGCCTTTGACAGTGGGAAATCATAACAGTGAAACAGCAAAAAAATGAACCTAATTGACTCCATTTTTGTTTAAAGAGTCTTTATCCATGCTTGCATGCAGGTTAGAATAATTTGAAAACACTAAAAAGATAACATAGGAACAACAAGTATGCAACTGTTCAGACTAACTCTGGGAAAAAGGGAAGTGCTCACCCTATGTTTTGTCAAAGATTTAAAGGAACATTGTGTGAGCTGATCAAGGACAAAGAAGCTTCCCAGCATCCTTGGATCTTCACTGGCACCCAGACGTCTGTGGTCATTGGTCACCTCTTGATTCCAACCTCCTGCTCTTAACATTAAAAGAGTCTGACATTTGTAATAACCTGAAGTGGTCTTTGAGACGTCAGTTCACAATCTCCTCAGGTTGCCATCTCTTGAATAAACTTGATTTCTTTTCACCAACCCTTGTCTCTTGAGTTTTGCTTTCGAGTGCTGAGCAGATTAGCCTGGGTTTGGTTACATACCATTAAACATTAACTCCCATTCCTTCCTACCCCAGTCATGGCAATTACCCTTCTACCTTCTACCTCTGAATTTGACTAATTTAGTTACCTTGTGTAAGTGGCATCTTACTGTGACTGGCTTATTCCACTTAGCATAATGTCCTCAAGATTCATGCATGTTGCAGGACAAGTCAGTTTCCTTCTTTTTAAGACTGAATAATATTCCATTGTACGCATGTGCCACATTTTGTTTATTCATTCATTGGCTGACAGATGTTTTGGTCGCTTCTACCTTTTGGCTATTGTCAATAATCCTGCTGTGAACATGAGTGTACAAATATCTTTTTGTGGCCCTAATTTCAATTCTTTGGGGTAAGGTCACCTGCAAGATTCTACCTAGAAAAGAGAACCTCAAGGGAAAAAAATTCTTTAGGGTATATACACAGAAGTAGCATTGCCGGATAGTATGGTAATTCTATTTTCATTTTTTGAGGAACTATCATACTGTTTTCCATAGCGACTATACGATTTTACAATCCCACCAGAGGGGCACAAGGGTACCACTTTCTCCATATCTTCATCAATACTTGCTATTTCCTGTGCTTTATTTATTTATTGGATATTAGCTAGGATAATGGGTGTGAGGTAGTATCTCATTGCGGTTTTGATTTGCATTTCCCAATGATTAGTGATGTTGAGCAGCTCTTCATGTGCTTATTGGCCATTTATATATTTTCTTTGGAGAAATGGCTGTCCAAGTCTTTTGTGGGAGTTCTTTATATATTCTGAATATGAACCCCTCATCAGATATGTGAGTTGCAAATATTTTCTTCTATTACATAGCTTTTCTTTTCACTGTTGATTGTATCCTTTGCTATAAAGAAGTTATAAAAAAATTTTTTTCAGGGAAGAGCGCGAACGCAGTCCCCCACTACCACAAATTACGCAGTCAAGTTTCCCACATTTGGGGAAATCGCGGGGGTCAGCACATCCGGAGTGCAATGGGTAAGCCTTGCCTTGGGAAAACTACCTTCGTGATCATGTTATCTCCCCTACCAGGTTAAGTATGAGAAGTTTTAAATTTTGATGTAGTTCAATTTATCTGTTTTTTTGTTGTTGTTGCCTATACTTTTGGTCTCATAGGCTTGAGATCATTGCTAAATCTAATGTAATGAAGCTTTTCCTCTATGTTTTATTGTAAGAGTTTTATAGTTTTAAGTCTTCTATTTAGGTTTTTGAGTTATTTCAAGCTAACTTTTAAGCTGTCATTTGTACTGGGCATTACTAACATGTAGCAATGATAAATCACTGCAGTTAAGAAAGTGACTTCCACATTTCTACTCTTGGATTTTAGCCCAAAATATGTCTTTCTTCCCTCTCCCCAACAAACACTTGCTCCTACTCATGAAAGAGGCCATAAAAATGTAAGAAAACCAATGCAAAAATTTATATTTTATTTGAATTCAAAAAATTTAAAATTGCTTTCAAATTCAGGAAAGTACCATAATGCAGGACCCCAGGGGGAAGCCTCATATACAGAGACAGATAAATTAAATGTATATACTGCAGACAAGCCAAGAAGGTGTGTAGATTACATATTTACAGCTCTTGATGTTTTCTGAAAACCATATTTATACACTTTATTACATTTACAAAAAAGGCTTCCAACTACCATTTACCTACAATAATGAAAAAAAAATTTACACCTTTTTTCTTTCTTTTTTGGTACTGTACAAACTTTGTATAATAAAAATATATCTCTGTACAAAAGATTTTTTTTTAACTTTTTTTTCCCTCATGAGATGGTGATGGGTATATGGCGTGAATGGTAAGTGGAGGGCCTAATCTGCCCCGTTCCCTTCCAAGACTCTGGAGGTGGAGAGAAAAATGCCAGGGTGCTGGGTGCCCCAGTAGCAGGTGCTCCTTGGGCATCTCTGACTTTCCAAGGAGACACGGGGGAGGGAGTGGAGGCAGGGCCGGATGAGGAGTCCACTGGGTGGTCTGAGAGGAGTGTAAGGGGGAGGGAGCAAAGAGCTTCCTGCATCTGTTTCCAGCAAAGAACTGAGATGAGTGTGAGTGTGTTTGTCTGAATTGGTTCTCTTCTGCCAATCCCCAGGGTGCTGTGTCCTAGAGTGGGTGTTGCTAGGGTGGGCTCCTGGCATTGCCAGTCTCCACTGTATCTGCTGGAAACAGACACCTCTCATTGTACTTTTGACATCAGATCTTTTAATTTTTCCAGCCCAGAATTTGCTTAAGAGACACTTAAGCACTGCCCCTCCACTCCTGCACATTTCTGTTGGATATTTCAATCTGTGATATGAACATCTGAGGCCAGCATGTCACACATGCACAGGGCCTTAAGCCCATGGAGGACCGTCCTGAGAACAGAGAAAGTGGCTGTAAATGCCACACTTTGACTCCTAAACTCGTTAACTTCCAACAATACTCACATGGAATTCATTAAAGACTCAGGCACAATGAAACTGTCAAAATAAATCAAACCCACTTGCAAGGAGGTGGAGAGAGTATGACTTTCAGTCACTTCATTCTTCCAATTCAGGAGCTGCCAGGTCTTTTGTCTGCTACAGTCAGGGCCTGCTGGGAGCCAAGAGGCCAGCACCAACTCCAGGAGGTCTGGAGTGCTGGGTTCTGGCTCTGATGCTGTCCACGTGGAGAGAGCAGAACCCACACAGGACACACAGGTCCCCACCTGGCCTGCCACAGTGCTGCTGTAGAGATTCACCCTGTCTTTGGTCCCCCTTCTAGACGGGATTTCTGGCAGCTGGTGTAGTAGACTTTGGGGTCAGACCGATCTGGGTTTGCATTCTGACACCACACTTACTACCTCTGTGACTCACATCTCTTCACCTCTCTGGGCTTCTGTGTTCTCATCTATAAAATGGGAATAATAAATCCAATGTATTGGTGTTGTATAGTCTAGAAATGCTACTGGTCAAGTGTCAGGCACAGAGAAGAAACCCAATAGGTGGTAGCCATTATTTTTGGGGTCCTGGAGCAGGTTTTCTCCCTGTCCTTTCTAGCACCTCTCTGCTACCTCCAGACCTGGCATCCTTATCTGGGTCACAGACTTGTTTTCTGTTCTCTTTGTCAGTTGACAGTCAGACTTGACCTTGGGCTTCTGGCTCACCCTTCATTCCCAGTGCTGCCCAGACCCAAATGACTTTTCATCTGGATTTAGAACTCAATAAAGTTATGTTTGAAAAAATAAAGAAACTGATTTCCACACTATTTCTGAAGACGTTTTTCTTGCTTTTGGGGTAATCCTTGCTGTCACTATGCAGATAGGACTGTCCATCAGCAGATGGTTGGTTTCTGCACACTGACCACCTCAGGATGTATCCTCAGACACACTTACTGTGTCCTCACACATGGGATGGGCGGCATGTTGATTTGAAGCTGACTATGCCTCCCCCTCTTCTCTTCTGTGTGTTGTGGGAACAAGGCGTGGGGCATCTTTCATGCACTCTTCTTTTGAAGGCTTTATGGTCTCTCTCAAAGGACGCAAATGAAGGAGAGGAGTGTATGTTTGTGTGTGCTCTGGCCCGTACACACTTACACACACCCAGAGTTGTTTTGCTATTTCAAATCCATCCACTTCCTTCCCCCGTCAGCAGCCCCTCTTCCTTTACTGCCCCAAGTCAGGGCTCGGCAGGAGTCCTCTCCAGGGTGACAGGCTAGAGGGTGGCAGGGCGAGGGCCCCAGTCCCAGCAGTAGCAGACACAGGCGGAGAGACAGACGAAGATGGGCACTGGGCACTGTGCTCAGGGGAGCCTACTTCCTGCCCCCTGGGGAACTGGGAACAAACAGATCACACCCGAGTTAGTAAAGGAAGAGAGGCAGTGGGGTTGGGGTAGGCAACAGAGCAAAGGGGGAACAAATGGGAAAGAGGGAAAGAAATCGGCCACCCCCAACTTCATCTCTGTTAGTGTTCCTAGGCTGGAGGTTGGTTAGGTAGGGAACACACACAGTAGAACATGTGTTTTTCTAGTTGTCTTTTTCCTGTGGGGCCGACTTACCCACGAGGCACATAAGCCCAGTGCCTAGGGGGCACCATACTTTTAGGAGTCCAGGAAAATGTTTTAATTTTAGTTTCTTTCAGAGGGGAAAAAATGAATATAATATCAATAATGGCTATGCTCCAGCCTGGATTAAAGTTTCTTTATAAGAATACAGCTGTAAATTGCCATTTCAAACACTTTCTAATGGAGGAGGGGCTCTCAAGCACGGCCCCGCTCACTCGCTCCATCGCTCGTCAACCCCACAGGTCTCACGACTTCCCTAGGTCAGCTTTTCACTTTAATTTCAGCTGCTCTCGTCAGGCATCATCTGAACTTACCACCTAATCACTTGCTTTAAATGTGTGTGTCTGTTCAGGGGCGGCTCCTTATACATCCCCACCCCCTGAGCCAAGCCATGCCTTCTCTGTTCAGGCTGTGGGTGGAAGTGGCCACAGGGGCCCTGATGGAGGCCTGTGGGCAGGGCAGCAGGTTCAGAGGCCCTGGCTGCTGGCAAGGGAGCAACGCTAGGGCTGCCTGCATGCGGAGCTGCTGACCCCAGAGGAGACAGCTGGGTGCACACCAGCACCAGGTACTCTGCCCAGATGCGAAGCGAGGGACCATGGGGCACTCTTGTTTCTTTCTTATGCTGTTCAATCATTCATGTGAGGCTTGATGGTCAGATTTATCACTGATCACCTCTCAGGGCTGATTTACGTTATCAGGGGAAATTTTTCTTTTTCTTTCTGGCTTTCTAGTGGTATGAGTTCTGAGTAGGAAGAAGGTAGGAAAAAGTAAAGACTGAGCATAAAGATGAAAGCTCAGGAGTAATTTTGGAATGTTAAAATGATCCCACTGGAGTAATTTTTCTGTCTTATTTAAGTGTCTTGGAGTGATGTAAAAAGATGGGGAAAATTTTTTCATAAAATTGTCTGTGTGCCACAGTGGCCTTCATATATTCTGAGACTAATTTTTAGCTCTTTGTGCATACATTATAGTAACATTTACACTTTTAAGCTTCAACTTAAGGAATAGAAATGATCGAGAGGAAAACAGCAGGCTCAAAGAGGGGAAGAGAGAATTGGGGGCAGCGTAGCAGAGTATTGAAAAGCACGGACATTTACTGCATCACTGACTAGCTCATGATGTGGGACTTAGGCAGAAACTGAAAATCCTAGGAGTTGTGCAGAGGAAAGGGAGCAAGGCATGCCAGGGAGCAGGCACCGATGCTCAGTAGGTGGAGACCTCACTATGACCCTGGTATAGGGTCATAGCCAGCCCTCCTATGCGCCTGCACACACAAGCCTGTTCCCTCGCTGAGCTGCCATTTGTGTGCCCCAAACACTTGCTACATGTGCAGTTGGTGTGGAAAGAAGGAGATGACACTAGCTCCGGGGTTGGCTGATGGTCCCCTTAACCAATTTCCCTTGTCCTGTTGGAATACCCATCTCTCTGACTCTGTGACTTTCTCCCCAGAGCCCTCCAGCTTTGGCTAGGCTCTCCAAGGTGGGTGGAAAGACCTGAGAGAGGGCACCTGCCTATCTCCAGAAAGTGGGATGTGTGGCAGAAGACAGTTCTCAGAGGGATGCAACTTGGACATCCTCTTGGGGCAACTCTCAAAGGTTCCCAGGTCCTAGAGGTGAGTGTATGATTGGGGGAGGACGCAGTGAAGAAGTGGCAATGCTTTTTAGATTTGTCAGTTCCATTCCAGTGGGCCTGTCAGATGCATGCACATGTGCGTGTGTGTGTGTGTGAGTGTATACTTGTGTGTGTCTGCCCCCAAATAATGGGGATCACCTCCCTCTTGGCTCAATGGCAGGGATTATGTTAGTTCATCTATTGTGCTCTGTGTGATGGTGAATTTTATATGTCAACCTGCCTAGGCTATGGTGCCCAGTTGTTTGGTCAAATCTCACTCTAGATATTGCTGTGAAGGTATTTTTTAGATGTGAAAAACATTGAAATCAGTAGACTTTGAGTAAAAAAGATGAACATCCATTATGTGAGTGGGTTGCACCCAATCAGCTAAAGGACTAAAAATCTGAGGTGCCCTGAAGAGGAAGGAATTCTGCTTCCAGACTGCTGGTGGACTCAAGATTACAGCACTAGCTCCTGCTGGAATTTCCAGTTTGCTGACCTGCCCTGTAGATTCTGCTTTGCCAGCCATTTCCTTAAAATAAATCTCTCTCTCTCTCTCTCTCTCTCTCTCTCTCTCTCTCTCTCTCTCTATATATATATATATATATATATATTTATTTCTATCTAACATATAGGTATATAGATGTGTAGATATAGACATATATCTCTCTTTATAGAGAAGTATATATGCATATATTATGTGTATAGTGAGTGTATACATCTCTATATATATACACACAACATACCTATGCATGCACACACACATACATGTATGTATATGTGCATCTTTGTATAGTTCTGTATAGCTCCAGAGCTTGGCCTTGGCACAGAGGATACACACACACACATATACATGTATATATGCATCTCTGTATGTCTCTATATATCTCCAGAGCTTGACCTTGGTCCAGAGGATGAATACACACACACACACACACACACACACACACACACACACACACACACACACACACAAAATTGGTTCTATTTCTCTGAAGATCCCTGACTAATACACTCTGCTTGGATATTTTGCCAAGTCCAAGGGTTAAGAGCATAGTCACTGGAGCTAGCCGGCTTAGGATTGGATTTGAACCCCTCTCCTTATTAGCTGTGTGATCTTGGTCAAGTTCCTGCCTCACAGGTGGTTCAGGGATTCAGTGAGTTAGATCAGAGAGGACCTGGCTCAGTGCATGGCACGCAGTCATGCTCAGTGCACTGCTCTCCTCTTACTGGGTGTGTCTTGGTGGGGTGGAGCATCTGTGCATGCACAGGTCCCTGTCTGTGTGCGTCGCAGCCTGTCTCCCCCACCCTGTCTCACCAGCTGCTGGAGGCGGGGCTCTCAGTGGCGGTGGAGATGGCCAGGCTTGGTGGCTATACTGCTGTGCACACTGTGCTGACTGTGAACTCCGCCTCGCTGGCCATGATGTCTGTGGGCTGGATGTTGCGGTCGTACATTGGGTTCTCAAATGTGGCCCGAACGTTGGTGTTCTCGTGGCCAGCATAGCCATTAAATGGAACTTTGGGTCTTCTCCTGGGAATAAGAGAGAGAGTGACCATGACATGGAAAGAGACAGTGATAGCAAGGCTTAGGGGTCTACAGGGGGGAAGGGAGGGAGAGAAGGACACTCTTTCTTTCAAAGGTTACAGCTTTCCTGAGCCATGAAGGCCTTGGCTGGCCACCCTCCCTGCCCGTGCCTCCCTCTACCACCGTACCTGTGCTTGTAGAGATAGAGCACAAAGCCCGCAATGATCAGGGCGATGAAAGGCACCAGGATCGCGGCCGCCACGGAGCTGCTGTTGGAAGCAAAGTGGCGGCCGATGGACTCGGGGTCTGACTCCAACAGCCTGAGGTCTGCAAAGTCCCAAAGCAAAAAACTCAAGTCACAGAGACACTGCCTGGGTATAGGGACCTGCTAACCACCTTGCCCACTGCACTCTTGGGAGTGAGGCTGCGGCTTGGGGGGTCTTCATACTCCAGCTTGACAGGGAAGTACCTGGAGCCCACCGGCTGGTCTCCACATACACACTCGAACACTGCTCAGGAGCAGGGGCCTACATGCTTCTGCCTTGGGCAACCAGAGGACTGTGTTCAGTCCTTGGACCACAATCTGCAGAAGAGCCTGAAACCATGTCTCAGAAAAAAACCCTTAAAGGGGTGCAGCTCTTTAGAAGTTTCTAAACTTCTTTTGACTGTGGAAGCCTTTTATCAGATGAAATCTTACAAGGAAGCCAAAATATAAGACAGATGAAAGTGGGACTGCTCTGGCTGAGGCGGGGGCAGTGTTGCTGAAGCTTCTCCTTAGGGAGAAGTATGGCTTCCTTCCTTCTCCCACTACCCCCAACTCTCAGACCAGGAGGGCTCAGAACACAATTAGACACCGTGGCCCCTGCGAGGGGCTGGGCTCTGAGAGCATACAGAGAGAGGAGCCAGAACAAGAATTCTGATTTTCTGAGGCCCTTCCAGTGTGCTAGGTTGGGGTGGTGGGCACTGGAGGCTGTCTTTGATTCTGTGAAGGGTGCCGTGTGGAAGACCGTGGTCTTAGCTCACACAGCTAACGAGAGCAGAGTCAAAGCAACTCGGGGAGGAACAGCGTGGGTGGGAGAGGTATGGGGCCAGCTGCTGCTTAGTGCAGAGAGAAGTTTCTGGAGCTCAGGGCTGGAGGAGACACAATGGACTGCCTGGACAGGCAGGGGCCCTGAAGGCTGGAGGTGTCAGTGCCCAGGGCATTGAGTGGCTCTCCTGCGCCCATGACTGGCTCCTGGCTCTACCTTCACTGCTTCTGAGAAATCAGGGGCCCTTACCTCACCAGAGTCCAAGGCTGGGCACCCAGAGGCTCTGGGCCAGGCTCTGATAAGTGGACATTTGACATGGATGGTGTGAAGCATGTGGGGTAAAGATTCTAGGGAAGGACAAAGAAGGGAAGCCTCCCTGATGCTCAGTTTTCTCATCTGTAAAATGGGAACAATGCTAACCTTCTAGTATTGTGCTAAGGAGGAAATTATATCATAAGTAAAGGCAACCCTGAAAACTCCAAGATGCTTCCAGCTGGCTTTGTCCAGAGGCAGAGGTGATTTCTGAGGGTTGGCCAGAAAGTGTTGCTGGTGGCTGTATCTATGACACAGCGTCCCTTAAGCTGGGGGCTCGCACCTCAAGGCGTGAGTGTGAGACTGTCTGGCAAAGGTTGGGTGTGTTGTGTTTATGTGTTTGTTTGTGGAGCTTTTTTTTTTTTTTTTTGAGTTGGAGTCTCACTCTGTCGCCCAGACTGGAGTGCAGTGGCCGCTCCCGGCCACCTCAACCTCGCCTGCTGGGCTCCGGCGATCCTTCCGCCTCAGCCTTCCAAGTAGCTGGAATTACAGGCATGCGCTACCGCGCCCGGCTGATTTTTTGATTTATTGTAGAGATGAGGTCTCGCTGCCCAGGCGGGTCTTGAACCCGCGGGCTCAGGCAATCCACTCACCTCAGCCTCCTAAAGGCGCGGGATTACAGGCTGAGCCACCGAGCCCGGCTGTGGAGCTTTTTTTTATTCCGCAGCTTTTGTCAGAATCTCAGAAACATTCCCGATGCCAAAGAGGCCAAGTACCCTGTCTCAGACTGTTGAAGTTCCCAATCCTCTTCCCTATCCCAGCACACGCAGTTTCTCTCCCATCCCTACAATCTCACCCTTCCAAGGGACACGTGCTAGTTACCAAGTCTTTGAAAGCCGAATTGCCCGAAGCCATGGCCCTTGACAGAACCCTGGTAGATGAAGGTGCCTCCAGAGGACTCTGAGGAGACCTGTGATGGTGGGGAGCAGAGAGAGAAAGATGGGAGGCATGCTAGAAGGATCTAGAACTCCTCTGGCCAAACCAGACAGACTCGCTCACAGGTACATGCTGTCAGACATGCTGGTGTCACCCACTGACCCGCTGCTCCAACACGGACCTCTGACTCTCTGTCTATACCAAGGCAAGGGTGGGGTGTGACTGGTGAGCCAGGTGGGGCAGGGACACCACCCACTTATTTGAAGTAGGGGAGAGAATTTTATTTTCTACTACTCAGCCCACTCAGTCTGGCCATGCCTCAGATTCTCATGTGTAAAATGGGAATAATAACAGTACCTATGTCTAAGGCTTGCTGTGAGGATTAAATAAGTTAATATACATAAAGCACTAAGAACACACTTATTTAACTTATTTAGACACATGGCTGCTATTACTATTATGAGGAAAAACTGACTTTTTTGGAGCATGATGAAACAAGCAGAACCACGATTAAAATGTCCCTAGCTGATTAAAGGCGTTTTGGAAGGTTCATCACATTTCCAATAGCTACTAACTTTGGGGGCAGTTGAGGACTTAACTCCTTCCTGCTCCCTCCACCACAGTGCCTCCATGACACTCACCATGTGTGACCTGGAACTGCAGTAGCTGAGGGTGAGGGTGCTTGCACTCCTGGCTACTTCGGACCCATGCCAGGGGTGCCCTCTGTCTCAGATGCCCTGGGCTGACCTCCCCACCTGTCCCCCTCACCCCCACATGCCCTGGCTGACTGCAGGTGGTTGGCTGTCATTCTGGGTGGTAGCTCTGACTGCTTTGCCCTCCATAGCTGCATATCCTCAACTTGCCCCGCCCACACTCCTAGTTCCACGTCCCATGGGCACACCAAGGAACTGCCTGAATGTACCAGCCCCTGCAGAAGCCACTTGGTTCTCCCTAAGTATTCATGAAACAAAGTCACTAAGTTACCATCTTCCCCCAGGTAGACCTTTCCATGAGGAGGCACATGACTCCCCAGCTCTCTGCTACTCTGACCCATCATGAACTCTCACTTCTTTCTTTGCTTCCTCTTCTAGCTCCAACAATCCAACAGAGGAAAGCTAAGGATGTGGTAGGTGACACTATGCTCAACTCCACTATATGTGAAATAGGAAGGCATGGGCAGAGGAGCGTCACTGGGGACCCAGCTTCCTCCTCAAGAAAACCCTAGAATGTAATGTCTTTCCCAAGGGAATGCAGGAAAGTCCTATCCCTTCCCCCAGGCCTGGTCTCTCAAATTGAGTCACCCATAATCTGCATCCTCAAATGTGAGCAGACGTTCAAGGTAGTCACGTGGGACTCAGCCCCCACCATATCATTACCTTCAGCTTGCCTGAATCCCCTCTTGATCCCTGATCTCCAATCCCTTGCTTTCTGTTCTAACAGCAGAACTTCCTTCATCTCTCTCAGACGTGGTGACCCTCTGAACTCTGATCCTTCTGGCTTTTTAAATCTTTTCCTTTGCTCACTTCGTTAGCAGATGAGGACTCCCTTGTTTCTTCCGGACCTGACCCCACAGAAGACCTCCTCCCAAGCTTTTATGTTGATCCTAGAAGTTTGCACACTCTTCTGTCTTTCTCTTACCCACTAGTGATCTGGGAACTGGGATAGGGCAGATTATGAGAAGGTCAATTTGTTGAACTTACATGTCCATCTAAAGCCCAGTGGTCATCTTTGAACTTATTCACAAAAATCTCTACAGGCCCTGTAATCTGGTAAACCTGAAGTAGGAGATGGAAATCTTCTTTCTTGTAAGTTCCTGGGAAAAGAAAGTTCAGGGGGGTAGACATGAAAGATCTGATAAAATTTCAAAACCCCAGTTTTTGGGTTTGTAGGTGTGAGTTTCTGAGTGTAATTTCATGTCTAGATGTTGATCTAAATAATTCCTGCATGTCTTTCAGTAGTAAGTGCAGTGCTGCATGTGAGTTTGTGTAGGCTGAATGTGAGTATAAACAAGAGTGTGCCCGTGTGTGTTAGTAACTGGATTACTGGGTTGAGATTGTGAACCTGTGTATACATGCACCAGTGACAATATGATTTTGTGTGTTTTAATCTGTTCATTAATGCACAGGTATGTTTACAATTCAGTGAGTGCAGAAATGCATGAGGGCATGGACATGGGAGTATGTGAGTGTGTTTATGACTATGTTAGGGCAAAAAGACAATGTGATCATGCGGTTGTATAGGTGCATGCATGTATGAATGAGTGGAGATGATTGTGGGGTTGTGTGTTAATATGTTTATTCATTCACTCATGCATTCATTTATCCATCTATCAAGTAAATACTTGTTTTCTAAATTTACTCATTACAAATTTCTGATTATAGAAATATTAAAAACTGGGAAAATTTTGGAAAATGCAGAAAAAAAACTCTCCTGATCTCATTACTAAAAAATAACTACTGCTAACAAGTTGTTGTAAATGCTTCTAGTTTTCTTTCTCATGAATATAATTTTTTCCTTTAAAAAATGAGAGTCATATTTTAAATACATTATAATGGGTGCATTTTCCCCGAAATTGGTATAATATTTTATACAGCAGGTATACTATAATTAAAATACTCATTTCTTTATTTTGGGGAAATTTTCTAGTTCCAGTTTTTATGTAATACAAATGACCCTGTAAGGGGAACATCCTTTATTCATAAATGTTTGACTTTCTCCATATCAATTTCTTATGATAAAAATTGTTACAAATGTAATTAATGGGTCCAATAATTTTCAAAGATCTTGACAAAATGTTTTCTAAAACTGTACTATTTTAGACTCTGATCATCACAGCTGAACCAGCACTAAGGTTGATGGGCTAAGTGGAAAATGACATTTTGTATTTACTTTCTTTATTTCTCATTACCACTGAAAAACATTTTTTATTTTGTTTGTTAATTGTTCTTTGGCATTTGGGAACCCTTTGCCTCGATTTTTTTTTTGTTGGAGTCTCACTTTGTCATTTAGGCTAGAGTGCAGTGGCACGTTCACGGCCACCGCAGCCTCGACCTGCTGGACTCAGGTAATCCTTCCACCCCAGCCTTCCAAGTAGCTGGAACTACAGGCATGCGCCACCAAACTTCAGCTAATTTTTTGATTTACTGTAGAGACGAAGTCTCGCCAAGTTGCCCAGGCTTGTCTTGAACCCCTGAGCTCAGGCAATCCTCTTGTCTCTGCCTCTCAAAGTGCTGGGATTACAGGGGTGAACCACTGCACCTGGACTGCCCCTATTTTAAATTCAGTTTTAGGGATATCAGTCTCTTTTTGCTTTGCTTATAAGCATTCTTTACATATCCAAGTTACTCATGTTTGTCATCTAACCATTTCCTTTCAGCCTATGTTGCTATATCATGCAAAGATGAATAGAAACCTCCTTTTCTCCTGGCCACCAGACAAGTCTGTGCTTCCCATCACAATTAAGTACAATGACATTAGGCTCATTCTTGCAAAGGGTGTGTGGTGTGTGCCCATCCTGCCTACTCTCATGGTGGGGTGGGGGGTGTTGCTCCTCACCAGCCAAGTGCAGCTCGACACCGCTGTGGTCAACAATGGTGGCGTTGACTTTGCTGTTGGCCACCTGGAAGTCAGTCACTCTGAGCATGGCTGGCTGCTTCTTCCCCTGGTACTCGTAGGCCCCTTTCCACAGGGAATTCTTGGCAAAAACATCCCCAGGAACTAGAGGAATTGAAAAACAGATGTGAGAGGGACTTGGTGTGTGCTGGTAGAATTAGGACCACCGATGACTGACCCCAGCTCACTCACTGAGTTACCTTTTCCTTAATGTCTAACATGTGGGGAGGTGGTAGAACACTCTAGTCTCTTTTGTCTCAGAGTGAATGAGTACCTTTTTTTTTTTGAGTTGGGATCTCACTTTGTTGTCCAGGCTGAAGTGCAGTGGCTGACTGCAGCCTTGATCTCCTTCTGGGCTCAGATGATCCTTCCACCTCAGCCTCCCAAGTAGCTGGGACTATAGGCAGGCACCACAATGCCTGGCTAAATTTTTTAATTTTGTTTTTTTTTATTGTTGACGAGGTCTCGCTATGTTGCCTAGGCTGGTCTCAAACTCCTGAGCTCAAGCCATCCTCCCACCTTGGCCTCCCAAGGTGCTGCGAACATGCCCAGCTAGGTGAAGGAAATTGAAATCAGTCTGTCAAAGAGATATCTGCACTGCATGTTCATTGCAGCACTATTCACAACAGTCAAGATAGGGTAACAACCTAAGTGTCCATGAATAAATGAATGAGTAAAGAAAATGGTATATATACACAAAGGAATACTATGCAGCTTTAAAAAAGAAGGAAATTCTTTCATTTGCAACAATATGTATGAACCTGGAGAATATTATGCTAATTGAAATAAACCAGGCACAGAAAGACGAATACTGCATGATCTCACTTATACTCATATATGGAATCTAAAAAGTTGAATTTATAGAAGTAGAGAGGCTGAGGTGCAGGGGGAGGCACTGAGGAGTACTTGGTCAAAGGGTACAAAGTTTCAGTTTGACAGGAGGAATAAGTTTAACAATCTGTTTCACAGCATGGTGATTATAGTTAATAATGTGTTGTATATTTCAAAATTGCTGAAAGAATAGATTTAAATGTTCTCACTCTTCACAAATTATAACTAGATGAGGTGATATATATGTTAATTAGCTTGATTTAATCATTCCATAGTGTATACATATATCATAACATCACATTGTATCCTATAGATATATACATTTGTTATTTGTCAATTAAAAGTAAAACATTTTTAAAAAGGAAGAGAGAGGGAATTAGAAAGAAGTAAGAGAAGAAAAAGAAAGGGAAAAAGGGAGGAAAAGGTATTTAAAGATGAAAGGGAAAAATGAGAAGAGAGAGAAAACAGATATATCAGTATGGTGTGATAGACAGGAACATGACCCAATGAAATCAGACAGACATGGAGTCTAATCTTAGCTCTGTCACTTATGTTTGATCATATGCAAAGCCTCAGCTTCCTCCTGGTGTAGTCTATACCTATAGTTCTGTAAATGGTGGTCATACCACCTACCTCACTGGGATTATTGTGGGGGACCAATAATCTAACGTTAATTGTATATTACATGATGTTGGGCACATAAAAACACCTAATCAGTGATAGCTACTAAAATTGCAATTTATTCATGTATAATTCTCTATGGCAAGCATTATGATCCTTTTTTACTGAATGGTAAACTGAAGGTTAAGAGGTAAAGTTCATTTGCCCAGGAACACAGCTGGTCAGTGACCAAAATGGCACCCAAGATGAGTTTATGATGCCACAGCTAATCTTGTTTCCTGCATAATGCACATGCTAATGAGGTAAATAAAAAAACAAAGGTTCAAAAAAGAATGTGATAGTCTATAATAATTTTGCATTATGTAGTTCTGAGTCCAGTTCTAAATGTGACATTTTGAAAGGCACAAAAACTATCTTAAAAATGTAGCTGCTTCCAGGAAGCTCCCTGTACAGGACCTGGGTCTGGTCTGTATGTCTGTATAACCACACGCTGGCCAGTCTTGTACCAGGAGGGGCTGCGGTAATCAACAGTTCCAGAGCTCTGGACATGTTTCTGGAAGGCACTGGCTCTCTCTCCTGGATGAAGTGTCTTTTTCCTTCTGGCTCACTTTCTCCTGAAGTCTGCCTGGGCTGGGGAGGAGGGTGAGGGAATCTGTCTAGGTCTAGACGTAGTTTTCATGCCCTTCTGCTAGGCACTCAGTAACTCATTTGCCTGTTTCTGGCTAATGACATGAAAAAAGTAGCTCCAGTTTCAGAGCCAACCATCTGGACCATACATACTTGAGGTTTGGGTGAGTGGCGGCTCCCGTGCAGTGTTGATGGGTCTCCCACTGGGCCGGACCTCTGCTGGGGAAAGAGAGTGGAAAAAAACAGGTTCAGCCTCTGTTTCACACTTTAATGGGAAAGCAATGATCAACTGTCTGACATTAGGTCAATAGGTTCTTTGAGAGCTTGCTTTGGACTTGCAAAATGTGTGCACTGAAAATTAGAAAGCATCAATGAAAGAAATTAGAGATCTAAATAAATGGAAATGCATTGACTGTTCATGGATCGGAAACCTTAATACTGTTTAGTTGACAATACTCTCCAAATTGGTCTACAGATTTGACACAATCCCTGTCAACATCCCAAATGTCTATTCTGTAGAAATTTGACACAATCCCTGTCAACATCCCAAATGTCTATTCTGTAGAAATTGACAAGCCAGTCTTAAAATTCATATAGAAATATGAGGCAAAATGATCTTGAAAAAGAAGAACAAAGTTGGAGGATTGACTCTTCCCAATTTCAAAACTTACCACAAAGCTACATTAATCAAGGCTGGGTAAAGGATGGCATAAGGATAGTTACAGAGATCAATGGAATAGACTAGAGAATCCAGATATAAACTTTATATGTTTATGGTCAAATGATTTTTTACAAGCGTGTCAAGGTACTTCAATGGGGAAGGAGCATAGTCTCTCTAATAAATTGTGCTAGAACACTGGATATCCACATGCAAAATAATGAATTTGGACTCTGACTCAACACCATAAAAAATTAACTCAAAATGGATCAAAGACATAAATGTAAGAGCTGAAACGAAAAGCTCTTAGAATAAAACATAGGCATACATCTTTGTGACCTTGGGTCAGGCATTTTCTTAGATATGACAGCAAAAGCATAAGCAACCAAAGAAAAAATAGATAAATTGTTCATCAAAATTAAAAACTTTGGTGCTTCAAACAGCATCAAAAAGAAAGTTAAAAAGATAACCCATAAAATGGGAAAAATGTGCAAATTATGTATCTTTTAAGTGCCTCACATTCTAGATATATAAAGAACTCTTACAACTCAACAATAAAAAGATAAGCCAATTAAAACATGGGAAAAGATTTGAATAGACATTTCTCCAAACAAGATATACATATGAAAAGATGCTCAGCCTCATAAGCCATTAAGGAAATGTAAATTATTTTTACACAATGACATGGACAACAAAAGTAAAAATAGACAAATGGGATTACATCAAATTAAAAAATTTCTGCACATTTGAGAAATAGACAAGTCTTCTTGCAAGAAGACATGCAAATGGTCAAAAAGTATAGGAAAATGCCCAACATGACTAATCATCATGGAAATGCAAATACCACAATGAGATATCAGCTCAAACCTGATAGACTGGCTATTATTAATAAGATTAAAGATAACAAGTATTAACCAGGATGTGGAGAAAAGGAAACTTTTGTATAATGTTTGTGGAAATGTAAATTAGTATAGCCATTATGGAAAACATCAAATTAACAGTTGAACTACCGTATTATCTAGCAGTCCCACTACTGGATATATATATATAAATAAAATCAGTAAGTCAAAGAGATATCTGCACTACCATGTTCATTGCAACACTGTTCACAATATCCAAGATATGGAAGCAACCTAAGTGTCTATCAATGGAACAATAGATCAAGAAAATGTGGTGTATGTACGCAATGGAATACTATAATATACAGCCTTACAAAAGAAAGAAATTCTGCCATTTGTGACAGCATGTATGAACACTGTGATAGTGAAATAAGCCAGGTACAGAAAGATAAATAGTGAATGATATCAGCAATATGTGAAATCTAAAGAGGTTGAATTCATAGAAGTAGAGGGTAGAATGAAGGTGACCAGAGGTTAGAATGGGGTGGGGCGTTTGGATTGGGAAGATGTTGAGCAAACAGCACAAACTTTCAGTTAGATGGGAGGAATAAGTTCAAGATCTTTTATACATCATGATGACTGTAGTTAACAACAATGTTTAAGTTTTTTCATCCAAAAAAGCCCACAGGGAGATACCACTTTATACCTACTTAGGTTGGATATACTAAAAAAAGATGGCTGACAACAAATATTGGGAAGGATGTAGGGAAGTTGGAATCCTGGTGCATCGCTGGTGGGAACATAAAATGGTATAGGCACTTTGGAAAACAGTTTGGTGGTTCCTCACAATGTTATACATAGAGTTATCATTCTCCTAGATATAGACCCAAGATAACCGAAAGCTATGTACATTGGCAGCAGCATTATTCATAATTGGCAAAACCATAAACAACTCAAATATCCATCAACAAATAAACAGATCCACAAAAAAGTGGTATCTTCATCTGGTGAAATATTATTTAGCCAAAAAAGAAATAAAATCCTGATACCTGCTACAACATGAACAAACTTTGAAAACATTATGCTAAGTGAAATTAGTCACACACAAAAGGACATACATTTTATGAATCTACCACAAGAGGTATTTAGAATAGGCAAATTCATGGAGACAGTAAAATAGTGGATACCATGGGTGAAGGAAAAGGGAAAATGAGAAGTTAAAGTTTTTTTGTTTCTTTTGAGTTGGAGGCTCACTCCTTCGCCCAGGCTGGAGTGCAGTGGCACGCTTATGGCCACCCCAGCGTTGACCTGCTGGGCTCTGGTCACCCTTCCGCCATAGCCTTCCAAGTAGCCAGGCTTGTGCTACCACATCCAGCTAATTTTTGATTTATTGTAGAGACGAGGTCTCACCAAGTTGCCTGGACTGGTCTTGAACCCATGGGCTATGGCAATCCACAAGCCTTGGCCTCTCAAAGTGCTGGGATTGCAGGCTAAGCCACCGAGCCCAGCCAAGAAGTTATTGTTTAATGGGATAATAACTTTGGGACAATGAAAAAATTCTGGAAAACGATAGTGGTAATGGTTGCACAATATCGTGAATATACCTAAAATTGTATATTATGTATGTTTTACCAGAATAAACATTTATAATAATAAATGTACTTTCTATTTTAAAATTTTTATAGAGATGAAGTCTTGCTATGTTGCCTAGGCTGGTCTCAAACTCCTGGCCTCAAGTGATCCTCCCAGTCTCAACCTCCCAAGTAACTGGGCTTACACCTGTAAGTGATCCTCCCAGTCTCAACCTCCCAAGTAACTGGGCTTACAGGTGTAAGCCACCACATCAAGGTCAATAAATATACTTAAAAAATACCTTTTATCATTACCATATGTGGAAAACAAAATAAATTTAAAAATCATACAATGAAAATTAAATATTATTATTATTTTTGAGTTGGAGTCTCACTCTGTCACCCAGGCTAGAGTACAGTGGCACACTCATGGCCACTGCAGCCTCTTCCCGCTGGGATGAGGCGATCCTTCCACCTCAGCCTTCCAAAGTAGCTGAAACTACAGGGGTGCATTACCATGCCTGGATTATTTTTTGATTCATTGTAGAGACGAGGTTCCACCAAGTTGCCCAGGCTGGTCTCGAACTCCCAGGCTCAGGCAATTCTCTCACCTTGGCATCCCAAGGTGCTGGATTACAGGCTGAGCCACCGTGCCCGGTCAAATAATATTAAATTCTAGCTCTTATAAAGGCTCTGACCCTGAAAACTTCTCTTTGAGAGACAGGATAGAAAAATATAAGTTTAAATCCTAAAGTTAGACCTTAAGGGTTTGGCTCTTTATCAGCTGGTGACCTTGGACATACTAATTAACTTCTCTGTGCCCCAGTTTCTTCATATATTAAATGGTGATACAAATAGCACCTGTCTCCTAGGATCCTTGAGAGGATAAAAGGAATTAATACGTACAAAATGTTTAGCACATTGCCTGGCCTGTGGTGAGATCAGCATCTGTAAGAGACAGTTCAATACTATTACAGCACCAAATTGCTCCTTTATCTCCATGGCTAGCCTCAAGCATCACCTTCTCCAGGAAGTCCTCCCTGACTTCTTCCCTCTCCAGCTTTAAGACACTTCCTCCTCATTCCCACAGCATTAACCACATCTCCATGTTCTTCCAGGTACGTTTATATCCAACAATGTGTCTATAGGGCAGGGTGGTGTCTTCCACCTCTGAATCCCCATGCCTCACACAGGCATGGTGCAGTGATAGTGCTCAATAGAGAATGAGTGAATGAAGAAGGGGGGGGTCTGGGATATCTTGGAAACCCCAAGGGATCTGTGGTGGGTGTTGTTTTATCAAGGTTATAATATGCATAATATGCTATTCCAGTTTTGTGGAAGAAAGTGCACTTCTTTGCTGAAAATTGACAATAATCCTGTGAGAGTGTGTTGTAGCTCAGGCTGAAGTGGCAAAATAAAATTTGGGATGTTGGTTGGGCGCAGTGGCTCAAGTGTATAATCCCAGCACTTTGGGAGGCTGAGGTGAGTGGATTGCCTGAGCCCGTGGGTTTGAGCCTGGGCAGCTTGGCGAGACCTCATCTCTACATTAAATAAAAAAATTAGCCAGGTGTGGTAGCATGTGCCTATGGTTCTGGCTACTTGGAAGTCTGAGGCGGAAGGATTGCTGGAGCCCAGCAGGTCGATGCAGGGGTGGCCGTGAGCGTGCCACTGCATTCCAGCCTGGGCGCTGGAGTGAGACTCCAACTCAAAAAAAAAAAAATTGGGTGTGGGTTCAATATATTCTTCTTGACACTGCCCTGGTTTGGTCCCCTATAGAGACTCAACAAGTCATGTAATGACAATAAAACAGTGCTGTTAAATTCTGGCTCTGATCAAGGCTTTGACTCTGAACCCTTCTCTCTGATGGATTAGGAATTCAGAAGCAGGATCCATCTCCTGGGAGTTTGATTTCTTCCTTGTCTTTCTCCCTCTTTCAGCTCAAGCTCAGCCACACCTTCAGCCTCCCATCCTGGGGCGGCTCACCGTGCAGACATACTCACCCAGACAGATGGGTGGCTTGCCTGTCCAGCTGCCATCCGCTTTGCAGGTGCGGTGCTCGGAGCCACCTTTGAGGGAGAAGCCCTCCTGGCAGGAGTAGATGAGTGTGTAGCCCATGGAGGGCAAGTCCAGGGCCCCGACGTTGGCATGGGTTGGTGTCTCTGGCTGCCTGCAGTGGTGGGCTGGATGAGAGAAAGATATTGTTGGATCTGGGGAGATTAAAGACTTCTGGGGGCCTTTTTGACCACTCCCCTGTTCCTAGATGGAATATCCCCTTTCCTTTCCTTTCTGGGCCCCTTCACGCCCAGCATCTCCCTCCCCAGTCCTCCATCCCAGCCCCAAGCTCTATGTCTGTAAGAATGGTCAAGATGGAGATCATGCGGATGTTGGCTTGGAACCTATGCCTGCAGAGCTTTTCCTGAGAAAAAAGGAGTAATTATGGTCAACAGTCTGATATCTCTATCGTGAGGCCTAGCCTTGCAGTTGTTCGTTTTTGCTGTCACTGAATAGCTTTTTTTTCTTTGCTAAGTCATAGGGATAGCCTTCCAATATCAGGAAGCCTTTTATGTGGAAACATCTTCTGTGAGGCCCCAAAGGGCAAGGACTACAAAGAGACCAATACGGGTTCAAATAAAAAGTCATGAGCCCCGTCATTCAGAGCTTTCAAGCTTGTCCTGATGCCTCGTGGGGGCAAGACACATTTTCTCAGGATGCAGTGAAGTCTGCACTCACAGATACAGTCGGGCGGAGTTCCGCTCCAGGTCAGGTTGGGGAGGCAGGTCCTGGTGGTGGAGCCCTGAAGCAGGTAACCTTTTTGACAACGGAAGAGCACGGTGCTTCCAACCTGCGGTAAGGACAGAAGGTCCCATCATCCTCTTCTAGCCAGCAGGGCTTCATATGCCTGTCCCTTGACCACTTACTCTCCCACAGCCCAATTCCCAACTTCTGTTGCCTGCAACACCCTTCTGCTTCTCTGCCTTTCCAAATCTTATCCTTTGAAGCAGCAGACCTCATGCCTCTTCCACAAGGCCTCATTCAATCCCCTGAACCACGGTGTAATACTACACTCTGTTGTGATCAGAGCCCTGGACTCCTGCATCGGAATTCTGACTTCTACGTTTACTTAGCCTGCGTGAAGCTGTAAACTTTGGTCTTCCCCCACTTTTTTTTGAGTTGGAGTCTCACTTCGTCACTCAGGCTGGAGTGCAGTGGCATGCTCATGGCCACCCCAGCGTCGATCTGCTGGGCTCAGGTGATCCTTCCGCCTCAGCCTTCCCAGTAGCCAGAACTACAGGCGCGCGTTACCATGCCCGGGAATTTTTTGGGTTTATTGTAGAGATGAGGTCTCGCCAAGTTGCCCAGGCTGTTCTCGAATGTGTGGGCTCAGGTAATTCTTTCACCTTGGCCTCCCAAAGTGCTGGGATTATGGGCTTGAGCCATTGCGCCTGGCCATCTTCCCACTTTTAAAGTGGGGATGACCATTGCTGGAATGTTGTGACACTCAAATGTGGTGGTAGATTTGGCAGCATTTTATTAAAATAGCAAGGGCAGTAGCCAGGTGAGGTGGAGCATGTCTGTAATCTTAGCTACTAAGAGGCCAAGGCTAAAGGATTGCTTGAGGTCAGGAGTTGGAGACCAGCCTGGGTAACATAGTGAGACCCTGTTTCAAACAAAATAATTATTACTTATGTGTGTGTCTTCCTTTCTTCTATGAAACTGTAAATTCTCCTAGGAGAGACTTGCCTTCTTTACAGATTTGCTCCTCAGAGACTCTTGTACTGTGCTTTGTAAATACCTATTGATCAGAATTGCCACCCTCCCTCTGCTCAGTTGCGTTCCCCACTTTAACCTTCCACCAGCCCCTCATTTTCTAATTCAACACTCCAGCAACCACGAGTTCCACTCTTCCCCTCTAACCCACTTGGCATTGTGTGGCTGATCAGTTTCCTGCACTGCAACTTGGATTATACTCTTTCCCAGCGCCAACACTCATGTGTCCCTTGATCTACTCGAGCTAATGCAAAGGCGACATGTAATTATTAATTTCCACTCCCTTCCTCCATGCCCAACCTGCCTCCCTCTTGAATTTCATCATTTGATTCAGCAAATGGCACCTTTACACGTGCAGATGTGCTAATCAAAAACCTCAAGTCATCTATGAACCCTTCAACTCCTCAATCCAACCCATCAATGAGTCCTCTTGGTTCTACCTACACACAATGTGCCCTGGACTCTTCACTTCTCCCACCTCCGCTGTCACAACTTCCCTTATCTTTCTCAAGTCATGATGACAGTGTCCTACTTCTCCAAGTGCTTCTATTCTTAACCCCTTTACTCATCCTCTACTCAGCAGCCTGAGTGATATTTCAAATGGTGAATCAGATTCAGTTGCCTTCAAATGACGTTTAGAATAAAACCCAAAATGCTTATCATGACCTCAAGGCCCTGCATGATTTGGCCATATCTTAGTCTTTGCAAAAATTATGCGATATCTAACATGTACAAAATAAGATATGCAGCAAAGTACAGAAGTGTGATCATAAAATAGATATCTTAACCTACTGTAAAACTGCTCCCACTGTATTTCTAGCCCCCTGTTCACACCATATTCTTAACCTGTCCTGTTTCCACTATATTCCTAGTGTTTCCTGTTTCCACTGTATTCCTAGCCTCCCATTCCCACCATATTCCTATCAAAGTTGTCCAGGAGGGTCTTGAACCCGCAGGCTCAGGCAATCCACTCACCTTGGCCTCCTAAAGCGCTGGGATTACAGGCTGGGCCACCGAGCCCTGCTTCCCACTGTATTTCTAGACTCTTGTTCTCACAGTATTCCTAACTTATCCTGTTCCCACTGTATTCCTAGCCTCTAGTTCTCACCATATTCCTAGCCTGTCCTGTTCCCACCGTATTCCTAGCCTCTTGTTCCTATCATATTCCTAACTGTCCTGTTTCCACTATATTCCTAGTGTTTCCTGTTTCCACTGTATTCCTAGCCTCCCGTTCCCACCATATTCCTAATCTGTCCTATTCCCACCATATTCCTAGCCTCCTGTTCCCACCATATTCCTAACCTGTCCTGCTCCCATCATATTCCTAGCCTGTTCTCACAGTATTCCTAACTTGTTCTGTTGCCACTGTATTCCTAGCCTTCCATTCCCACCATATTCCTAATCCATCCTATTCCCACCATATTACTAGCCTCTTGTTCCCATTGTATTCCTAACTTGTCCTTTTCCCACTGAACCTGTCCTGTTCCCACCGTATTCCTAAGCTCTTGTTCCCACTATATTCCTAACCTGTACTGTTTCTTTATTCCTAGCTTGTCCTGCTCCCACTGTATTCCTAGCTGTTCCTAACCTGTCTTATTATTCCCACCATATTCCTATTTTCCTGTTCCCACCGTATTCCTAACCTGTCCTGTTTCCACTGTATTCCTAACCTCCTGTTCCCATCATATTCCTAACCTGTCCTGTTTCCACCATATTTCTAGTTTGTCTTGTTCCTACTATATTCCTAGCCTGTCCTATTGCCACTATATTCCTAGCTGGTCCTGTTCCCATCATATCCCTAGTCTCCTGTTCCCACTGTATTCCTGGTTTCCTTCCCATCATATTTCTAGCCCCTGTTCCCACTATATTCCTAGCCTGTCCTGTTGCCACTGTATTCTTAGTCTCCTGTTCCCACCATATTCCTGACCTGTCCTATTCCCACGGTACTCCTAGCCTGTCTTGTTCTCACCATATTCTTAGCTTTCTGTTTCCACTGTATTCCTAGACTCCTGTATTCCTAACCTATCCTGTTCCTACTGTATTTTTAACCTCCTGTTCCCACCATATTCCTAAACTGTCCTGTTTCCATCATATTTCTAGCTTGTCCTGTTCCTGCCATATTCCTAGCCTTTCCTGTTGCCACTATATTCCTAGCCTCCTGTTCCCACAATATTCCACACCTGTTCTTTTCCCACTATATTCCTCACCAAGACAGGCTAGGAGTATGGTGGGAATAGGAGGCTAGGAATATGGTGGCATGGAGGCTAGTGCATGCCACCATATTCCTAGCCTCCTATTCCCACCGTACTCCTAGCCTGTCTTGTTCTCATTGTATTCCTAGCCTCCTGTACCCACTATATTCCTAGCCTGCCCTGTTCCCACCATATCCCTAGCCTCCTGTTCCCACTGTATTCCTGGTCTCCTTCCCATCATATTTCTAGCCCCCTGTTCCCACTGTATTCCTATTCTGTTCCACTGTATTCCTAGCCTATTCTGTTTCCACTGTATTCCTATCCTGTCCTGTTTTCTCCATATTTCTAGCCTATCCTGTTCCCACTATATTCCTAGCCTCTTGTTCTCACCGTATTCCTAGGCTGTCTCATTCCCACCATATCCCTAGCACCTATGACTATAAATACTAGACTTTTCCATTAACATTTTATTAGACTTGCTCTATCTCATATCTGTGTATCCCTTGGTACATTCATCCATTCATGTTCCTTTTTGATGCATTAAAAAGTAAATTGCAGCCATTGTTTTTGTTAAGCACTGGTCAGGCCATGTGGCTCTTTGAACTATGGCCACCATGTTTTCCTAAGCTTTGGCCCCCTCCTGTACCTTAGGGAGGTGAATCTCTTCCTCTCTCTCTCTCCAATTTTTTTTCTAAATAAACTATATTTTCCCATCTAAAAAAAAAGAAAGCAAATTGCAGGCATCAGTGTATACCTCCCCTCCAAAAGTTAGAATATATATAAGGGGGGTATCAAAAAACCTAGGAATTTATTTATAAAAAATTATGCATTGACTGGGCTTGGTGGCTCAGCCTGTAATCTCAGCACTTTGGGAGGCCAAGGTGAGTGGATTGTCTGAGCTCGTGGATTCAAGACCTGCCCGGGCAACTTGGCGAGACCTCATCTCTACAACAAGTCAAAAATTAGCTGGGCATGGTAGTGCATGCCCGTAGTTCTGGCTACTTGGAAGGCTAAGGTGGAAGGATCGCTGTAGCCCAGTGGGTCGACACTGGGTGGCTGTGAGCATGCCACTGTACTCCAGCCTAGGCAACAGAGTGAGACTCCAATTAAAAAAAAGTATGCATTTATTATTACATTTTGAAACTTTGGTCACCTTCAAAGTACTCTCCATTTGAGGCAATACACCTATTGAGATGCTTTTTCCACTGCTCAAAACAGTTTTTGAACTTGTCAATTTTGATGCCTTTCATTGCTTTTCTGCCATTTTTTGTTTCACCTTTTCCACATTGGCAAAACATTTCCCCTTGAGGACTTTTTTCATCCAGGAAAACAAAAAAAGTTGCTTGGGCAAGATTGGCAAGGGAGGGTGGGACATAGAGGTCACACCAGTTTTGGTAAAAAACTGCTGAACACAGTGCAGTGTGGGTAGGTGCTCTCATAAATCACCCATTATGAAATGGGCAAAATGTGTTGAAAGAATCTCAAAAAAAAAAAAAAAAGAAAGAAAGAAAGAAAGAAAGAAAGAAATTCACCGAAGCTGAATGAAATTGCAGTCTCACAATAACACTAGCTGGTACACTGATGCTAATGGGTAACCTTGTAGGGGCCCACACTCCAAAAAATAATTCCGATTTTTGGGGTCCCCCTGATGTGTGCTGAATGAGTACAGATCGACTGGCTAGATCACATGACTTGACTAGATCCCAGCTTGTCACCTCCAGGTTAGTCCCTGATATTCTCTTGGGCATGTCTTGGACTCCAGCTGATTGTTCTGCCTTGCCACACCAGTCAGTACTTTCCTGCTTTTTTTCCTCTGTTTAGAGTGTCCCACCTCAGGCTGTCCCAGTCTTCTCCTTCTCCCAAAGCTCATTATGATATGTGCCCACAAAGCTTTCGTCTTGATGGTCCTGCCTCACACGTGGCTCTTGTTTGCTGTTACCCTGTACTAGCCAAGGGTCAGTGGGTAGAGGTTGGGCATCTTGAGGATAGAGGGTCTGTCTCTCTCATATCTGTATTTCCACAACCACCCTGCCCCAACTCCTGGGGTTGCTGGAAAGTGTTCATGGAACCGCACACCAGCTGTCCTTCCTCCCCAGCTTCTCTGATGGATGTCAGTGCCCTCCTGTTTCTGAAGGGTGCTCCTGGGGTTCAGAGAGGCAGAATGCTTCCTTTCTTCAGTTTCTCAGGTCTTGTTCTCCCCTAGTGCTGTCCCTGGGGAAGGACCCTTGTTCCTCTGATGCTGATGGTGGCAGGAAGGGATAGGAGGTAGGAAGGCTCAATCTTGGCTGACCTCATTACCTGGTAGCCCTGGGAATTGTTCTGTATCCCAAACTGCGGTATGCCCGGGTCTGCACACGTGGTCAGCATCGGATCTGGATTGCCAAAACAAAGACACAGACCACATGGTCATGGAAGCCTTCACTGCCTCATCTCACTCTGAGAAACAGGTGTAGAAAGGAAATGCAGCCACATCTCAACTTCCCCCTCTTCTGAAATCTCCACCTGAACCACAGCCCTGGCTGATTATTCACTCCCCGGAGCACATCAGCTCTGGCTATTTCATATCCTGCTCCAAAAAGCTCAAGGTGGGTGGATTTGTTCCCTTTTGCAAATAAAACCACTGAAGATAGGAAAGAAGAGTCATCACCTCATACTCAAAAGGCTGCCCCCTCCCCCAGCCAGGACACTCTCTGCCCCAGATCACCCCTCACCTATGCAGCTGGGCTGGGTGCCACTCCACGTCCCATCTGACTGGCAAAACCTGCGGGGAGAGCCCACCAGCACCAGAGGGGGATGACAGGAGTAGGAGACAGACGACCTGTAGGAGAAGCCTCGGTCCTCACGCCTCCCTCGGGGTGGTACGCCGGGATCTCCGCAGAAGACAGCTGGAAGGCAAAGGAAGAGAAGCAGTTCTGCATTGCTTTCTAGAACCCTGTCAACCACTCCCCCAGCCCCACTTTTGTTCTCTGTACTGCTTTCTTCCTCGTTCAGTTTGAACTCTGGGAACCAAGGCAGCCCTAGGTGAGTGCTTACACCTGCCGAAGTGCTGCTACTGCGGTGGGCTTGCTCCCCTTCTGCATTCAAAGTGCTTATTAATCATAATCCAAGCAATGGAGTAACATTTCAGGAAATCCAGAACATTGAGAAATGAATGACAATCCCACTACCTAAAACTTTGTTTTCATGTTCACACATCCTCTTCTAGTTTTCATTTAGTTGTGTTGTAAACTTGTGCAGAGCTGCAAACCCAAAGTCCATGTGATTGTGAATCTTTCTTTGATCTCTTAATATTATCCTATAAACATTTCCCATGTTTATGACATTATTATCACTTATTAGCTACACAATTTTGCACGAGCAGTTGTACCACAATTACATTTTATCATAACCCATATGTTGTGCATTCTCTATTATTACAAAGTTACATATGACTCTTCTTTCACATGAATCATTTTCTTAGGAGAATTTCCTGGGAGTGGCCTTATTATCTCAAGAGGTTTGAACGTGTTTGCAACTCTTGATGTGCAGTGTCAAATTTCTTTCTCCAAAGCTTGCACATTGACACTGTAGTGGGTAGTGTATGGGTTTACCCATTTCATTTAGGTCTGGTTAACATCAGAGTAAGTCATTCAAAATTGACTACCAAAGACAAAAGTTCCTGTAGCATGACTTCAAGCATCAGTTTATGCTATGGTATGCAGGTGTGCATGTGTGTGTGTGTGTGTGTGTGTGTGAGAGAGAGAGAGAGAGAGAGAGAGAGAGAGAATATAGAGTCATGAGGTTCACACTCACATGAAAAATGGAATGGAAGTGGGACCTCCAGCCTATGCCCTGGAAGCTGGGAGTCCAGACTGACCAACTGGAAGTTGGGCAAAAGCTGAGTTAATTGGAAGTCATCATACCCAGGAGGAGGCAACTTAAGAAACGTGAAATACAAATGGTAGAAGAGTGATGACTCAGCCTGTCTCATGAGCTATGTGAGGCCAATTAAATAGCAAAACCTGTTTTCATTCTTCAGGTTGGCAAATATTGGCACAGTCCCTTGTTGATGGGGGTGTGAGTCAAGAAGAATTGTCATAACTGCTGTTGGGAATGTAAATTGAGACTTTCTGGAAAGCAGTTTGGGAATGTATGTAGAGAATTGAAGAGTGCTTGCCCTTGGATTAGCCTTCTCATTCCTAGAACTTCACTGCAGGAGTGAAGAAATGTGATGTTCAGGGATATTTATGGCAGAACTGCTTCTAACATGCTTACACTGGAGGTAGCCTAAACTCATCCCGTAGGAGAAGAGTATGGCAGCTTTAACAAGGAAACTCTTTAAAGCTGTTAAAAATGGTGATGAATAGATCAGTATATATGAGTAGGGAAAGGTGTTAATGAAAAGGTTTGGGTGGCCTATTGATGAATACAAGTTATGCAATAGAGTGTATAGCATGATCAAATACTATTTATAGAAAATTGTCTACATATGCAAGAATGCACAGTGATCCACATGGAAGCACAATCAAAAGCTTAGCTGTGGTTATCACAGGGAAGTGAGACTTTTACTTTCATCTTTGTATTTTCTAATGTTGTAAAAATCTTTTTTATGATGACCATAATTCATTGTTAAAAAGCAAATCAGGCTGGTGTGGTGGCTCTTGTCTGTAATCCCAACAATTAGGGAGGTGGAAGTGGGAGGATTGCTTTAAGCCAGGAGTTTGAGATCAGCCAGGGCAACATAGTGAGGCCTTGTCTCTATAAAAAAAAAATCAAAACAACTAGCCGAGCTTAGTGGCACACGCCTATAGTCCCAGTCACTTAGGAGGCTGAGGTGGAAGAATTGCCTGAGCCCAGGAGGGCAATCAAGGCCGCGATGAGCCACCATGATTGTGCCACTATACTCCAGCTTGGGTGATAGAGAGATCCGACTAAAAAAAAAAAAAGCAAGTTCTCCAGAGGACAAGCAAGGTTGCCGAGTCCAGCCTCAACCCTGAGACTTACTGCTGTCCTAATGTTTCCCCAGTAGTGTACGAAGGATGAAAGGGCTAAACATGTACCAAATGCCTGCAACCACTTTTGAGCTGTTGGCCCTGAAATTCCCAAATGGAAGCACATTTTCAGAGGTACCCAAACAATGTCATGAGTATATGGATCATTTTCTACAGAATTAGATAAATGCCAACCAGAAAGAAAAAGTAGGTTCTGCTGTTAGTCCCAGGCATGGACAAGGAGAAAACCTCTCAGAGTCCATTTATGGGGCGTGATAAGACTAAGTGACCTGGGAACCTGCTTCTCTGGGGACTTGGTAAGGAATAAGCCCTAGGATGGACTTGGGGCTCTTCAGGACACCATTGAGCCAGGTGAAGAAAAAATAAGGTATCTTACTGGAGCCTTTGCTGTGTGAGGTATTTTCTATGAAGACAGACATGTTTCCAGCACTGGGTGTCCCCAGATCTTTGGGTACTATCCCGAATTCAGTTAACAACCCTTCTGGTCAAAGTTCACCTCCCTGTCTCTAGCTTAATTTCCTTCTCTGACTCTAGACAGTGTCTGAAGCCAGGGCTTGATTAAGGTATTCTCATTTGTTTCTTTTAAACTTCCTTTCTTCTTTAATGGTGCAAATGGTGAAGCTCCTCCCTGATTTTGGGGAGGGGACTGGCTATTCTAAGCCTTCCAGCAGCAGAATTCTGAGGAGGGAAGGGGAGGCATCATCAGGAGGCACCAAGGGCCCTTGGGGGCAACTTACGGAAACACTGAGGCAGCTCTCCCGTCCAGGATCCATTTCCCTCGCAGGTGAGCACTGCGGGCAGGGAGAGCTGATACCCCTCCAGGCAGGCGTAAGTCACGCTGGAGCCCCACATGAAGTCTGACCCCACCACTTTCCCATTGGGGATGAGTGGAGGTGGCTTGCACATGATAGCTGGAAGAAGACCAGAGTTGAGTTCTGGTGCTGTCCTGGGAAACCAGTCCCAGTCACTGTCATTTAATCGCTGGATGCCCAGTACCTGGTGGGAGTCTGGGATATGCAGCAAGAGCCAGAAAGGGCCCCTCTTACCGTGGGAGTTGTGATCTCCTGGCACCTTACAATAACCCCTCTCAAGCATGACAACCAGTCCTCTCTTTCCCGGCCCTCCCCTTGATGTTCAAGGCCCAGGCCTTACCTTGGTACCATCTGACTCGCTCTTGGCAGTTGTTCAGGGACCAGTGCCCACCTTGCACATCCCCTGGTAAGATGTTAGGGCTCTGCCTTGTCACTCCCCACCCACTTCTAGATGCTCAGGGTCTGTGTCTCACTATTGTATCTTCTTTAGTCCTCCATTCACATTGGCCCCCAGACGCACCTTTGCAGATGGGCTTGGTACCATTCCATGTCCGGTCCTTGGTGCAGCTCAGCACAGATACCCTGTGTGATTCCATCATGTAGCCAGGAACACACTGATATGTCACAGTTTTGTTGTACCTGAAGTCATTGCCCAGCCGGAGGCCATTGGCTGGAATCCCAGGATCACCACAGTTTATAACTAGAAGAGAGATACAGAATTGTTCACTCTCGGACCCTATTTCTCCTCAGTACTCCAATACCATCCCTATCACTCCCTGCACACATCCAAGAAGGAAAGGTGTCAGATCAGGGATGTCCTGTCTCTTCATAGGTTCCCAGTTGGGCACTGCCCACTCGAAAGTCCATTTGGTCCCCTGCATTGGCTCTGTCCTTGCTCACAACATTCTTACACACTCCCATAACTTGGGATGTGAAGACCAGCCTTCTTGTTCAAAGATCCCTTTCCAGGAGGAAGTACCCAGAGGGCTCAGTTCCTAAATGAGGATGGGGCCCAGGGAGAGGAGGGATTCCAGGTTGAAGAGCCTAAAATGCGTTAATGGACTACATAAGACAGTTAACTTGTCTGCCAAGGGAAACATCTTATTATGCTGCTGTGGCTAGGAAACTTCTGTAGGCCAAACAGCCCGGAAGTAGGGTGCTATGGCCCATGAAATGGTCGTGTCTGTGTTATGGTATCTGTGAGGTTGGAGATTTGGTGAGGTCTGTTCTCAGAAAAATTGTGAACTTTGTAAAAGATTTCACATGGATCCTGAAATCACAGACTAGGACTTTGATGGAGAGAATGTTGTCAGATTTCCTCATCTTATCCCGTCCTTCCATCTGGGCCCCACGGTGACTCACTTTCCAAGGAAAAGGTCTGAGCTACCCTTGGCAGGAGCAAGAAATGGGAATTGTAAACTACATGCAACTCAGGAGCCTGCCCAAGTGGGGATGGGTACAAGGAAAGAAGGGTGGATGGCAACATTTTAAAGTGGAAAGAAAGGTCAAGCGGGGTGGCTCAAGCCTGTAATCCCAGCACTTTGGGAGGCCGAGGTGAGAGGATTGCCTGAGCCCGTGGGTTCGAGACCAGCCTGGGTAACATGGTGAGACCTCGTCTCTACAATAAATTAAAAAATTAGCCAGGCGTGGTAGCATGCGCCTGTAGTTCCGGCTACTTGGAAGACTGAGGCAGAAGGATCGCCAGAGTCCAGCAGGTTGATGCTGGGGTGGCTGTGAGCATACCACTGCACTCCAGCCTGGACAACAGAGTGAGACTCTAACTCAAAAAAAAAAAAAGTGGAAAGAGAAATAGGCAGAGCCTAGGGTTAGCCCTAAGAGAGAAAGGGAAAGCCCAAGGAATCGTCTAGAGTCCGCAAAATGGTCAGTGTAGATTCTCAACCTCTTTGAGCCCCAGTCATCTCCTATATAAAATGGGTCTAATAGTGGCTGTTTCATAGGGTTGTGGTGAGAATCAAAGACATACACATATAAAATATTTAGCTAAGTGGCTGCCACACAGCATATACTCAATAAATAGAGGCTATTTGTATGAATCTCATTCAGGCTCAAGTCCCACCACTCCAATCAGCCTGCCTGGTCTTCTCCAGTATGCAGAAGCTGGATCGCCATCATTGGCCATGGAGCCCAGAGGGCCTGGGCTCTCACCTAGGCATTCGGGGTCGCTGCCTGTCCAGGTGCCATTGACCGAGCAGTGACGGCTGAGCAGGCCTGTGGCGTAGTAACCTTCCCGACACTCATAGACGATGGAGCTGGAGAACACCAGGCCATCACTGAACACAACTCGGGCGTTGCTTGGAGTCCCAGGGTTCCCACAAGAGATCACTAAGAAGACAAAAGAGCACAGTATTCACCAAAACAGTGGCAGGCATCACCTGGGGAACTGAGAACTGCCCAGAGTGGAAACCACATGCTACACAGGGATCCTGTGGATGGAAACGCTTTTTGTGCTTCTTTCCTATCTAAATTATCTCACCCCTAGACCGGAAAGGTGACCTCCATGAATCTTTTTTAATTTTTAAAACAATTCCATTTAAAAATTTTAAAAAATTTATCCACTTAAAAAAGATGGTAACTATATTTTTACCACCCTATTTTATTATCACCCTTAAATACTTAAGCATAATTCCTTAATATCACCAAATATCCCATCAGTGCATAATTTTCCTCAATTGTCTCTCTCTTCTTTATAGATGTTGACTTGTTTAAATCAGGATCCAAATAAGGTCAATGCATGACATTAGGTTGTTGTGTCTCTAAGGCTTTGAATCTGGGGATTGTTACTGCTTCTATAATTTATTTGTTACAGAAACCAGGGCATTTGTCCTGTAGGACTTCCCGCTTTCTGGATTTTGCTAACTGCATCAATGAGGTATAGTTTAACATGTTCCTCTGTCCCAGCAGTTCCTGTAATCAACTTCTACTTTTTGGGAAGGGTACTTCACAGGTGGTTTTGGGTCTTTCTTATTGTATTAGATCAGGAGGCAAAGAATTTCTGGTTGTTTCCCTGTTCATGACGTTGAGCCTGATCCATGGTTTCAGCCATAGCATCAAGCTAATAATGCCTAACGCGTTATTATAAAGTTCCCATTAGTTTTTCACTTAATGGTTTTAGCAGTAATTGATGATCATGTCCAGATTCATTATTGCATTAGGGATTGGAAAATGGCGATATTCTAATTCTATCATTCTTTCTGCATTAGCTGGAGTTCTGTAAAAAAGAAATTTCCCATCATCAAATATTTGCTTACTCTGAAATATGGTTCTTATAGGAAGGATGGATAGTGCTTGATACATCCTTTTTTAAATCAGATGTCAGGATAATGAGTTGGTTTCCTAGTCAGTTCCAAAGGTGATCAATGTGTTTATTTAAGAATCATTTTAAGATTTCCAACCCTCTTGGGTCTCCTCCCAGTATGAGAGCTTTTCTGTCCTCTTAATAAATCCTGCTTTCTCATTTTTCAGGGAAAAAAAAAGAATCATTTTAAACTCATGGATCTAAAGTTATTTACCATGTTGCTATACACTGCCATTATTATTCTTATTGATCAAATTATTCCATCTTTTGCCAATAGGAGTCTTTTCAGGTTGGCTCCTGAGCTCCCTTGATATGACCTGAGTTGTCTTTGTGGATCCCTTGCTGGAGTAACAGGATGTTCCATGTTTACCTTGTGTATTCCCTGCTGCAGTCCTAGGATTAGCCATTTCTCCAAAGAGCCTTGTTCCTTTTAATGGGGAATGAACTTAGCGACCACAATCTTGGTATTAAGGGTACTCATTGCTGCTGAGCTACTCATTGATCCCAGACTTCTAGAGTGGATAGAGCTGTGAGGACTTCTTAAATTGAAAACACACTGGGATCACATGGTGGTAGAGACTGTAAAGTCAGATAACAGAGACTGGGAAGGATGAGTGGGGGTAAGGGTTAGGATGAAGAGAAGTGGGTTAAAGGGTATAAACATACAGTTAGAGAAAAGGCATAAATTCAGTGTTTGATAGCAGAATAGGGTGACTACAGTTAACCAAAGTGTATTATACTCAGGTGATGGATACCCCAAATACCCTGAATTGATCACTATGTGTTATATACCTGTAACAAAATTTTATGTGTGCCCTATACATTTGCACAAAGAAAAAATGATTTCAAATAAAAGAAAATATACTATGGGTTTATACTGATATTGACAATCCAAATTTAGGATTAGGGGCTTTCCCTTAACTTCTTTACTTTCATACTACATCTCTTTTATGCTGAAAATCTTGGTTCTTAATGACAATAAATAACTTGTATTTGCTTTAGCCATATTTATTTTATGGTATTGCATATATAATAGTCCCAAGATATTAATTTCAACATTATTACTAACAATAAAATTGCTAAAAACAGTTTAAGATTTCTCTGCCATGCTCTTGACCTTAGGATATATACCACAGTCAAATTCTATTTTTTCAAGTTACTTGAAATAATTATCTAGGTTTTTAAATCATCAACTTGATACATGGTTAGGTTTATTTGTTTACATTAGAATTTTGATATTTAGAGATTACATGTTTTTAATCTTTGATTTAATTTAATTTGGTAGGTATGTACAACATTTATGTGGTCCCAAAGTAAAATCTACAAAATGATTCCTATATCATCAGCACCACAGATAGATAGGCCTGACATCCATTCATTCAACAACTTGTGCTGCTAGGTGGCTGGAATACAACAATGACCAAGTTATGTTCCCTGACCTTGAGGAGCTTAATCTATTCTAAGAAACCTACCTATAAAACAGATGAATTAAAGTATGATACCACAAGTATGATCTTTATACTTGAAGGAAAAAGCTTCTAAGAAGGAAGTGAATTACAGCTGAAGATAAGAATTTGAGTAGAACCTTTATGGATAAGTAGGAGCTTGTCAAGAGACAAGCTCTCATAAGAACTGTGTACATGTGTGTATTCTCTCTGTCTCTGTCTCTCTCTCTCTCTTGCTCTCACTTCCAGATCCAAACTCTCTGTCTCCGAACACTCCTGACATAGTGACTAACTTTGTCTTGGGATCTGAGTGGTTTGAAGGGAGATATGGGTCACATGGGTATTAAAAAAAATTAAATTCTCCCTTGCGTTACATTTTCCCAATTCCACAAACCTCTCTTGCTATGCCTATAAAATTCTATAGAAATGAACTTTGTGACCGCTTGTGTACCTAACCCTAAGTTGTAACCCACATCTTGAAAATTAAAAAAAAAAAAGAAGAAACAAACTTTGCAAATAGCACTACCAGAAGGGCAGGACTTTGGGCAGACAAGTGAGAGAGGGCTCTATCTCCAGGACATCATTTCCTAGGAAGGTGTGCCTTGACAGCTAGTGCATCTTCCCTTGCTCTGCTGGACGACTCGACTCCATAACCTCAGTTATGGAGTCTGCTCGCCAAACACTGCCTCTTAAGTCTCTTCAGCTCACTCCCTCTGGATTCACTCTCTGGTGACTTTTTAATCCATTGATCTGGGACCTGTAATCCATTGATCCTGCCACTTTTTCACTGCTTCCTGCTCCACTCATAAAGCTGCTTCCTCCTTACCCAGCTTAGATGCCAAGATCTACCATAATCACTGCCTTGCATTCTGCCTCATTTCCCTTGCCACTTTTGTGAATATCTTGGCTGCCTGGTAAACCTCCTTTTACGCAATGCACTGTCTACTCTGTGCCTGCACCTATGTAGCACAATGTGTTGAGCAATCACAGTTGGAAGCTGACTGCTCTCACTTTAAACTAATGACCCCCCCGCAGAACCTTGTATGAGCCCTCAGTGCTGCCTGGCGATGACATACTTCCCAGTTCCACTCCCACTTCTATCTTGCTGGATGATTACTTCATATCATCGCTTTCCTCTTTTGCATCTCACTCAACCTTAGCTGTTAAATCTGCTTCTAAGATAGCAGATTGCTATGCAGGTTGTATTTTAGAAGAGAGAGACAGAAAGATTTGGAGATCAGCAGCAAAAAGTTGGCTCTAGAGAAAGAGATTTAAAAACAAAATATTTTCCCCCAGAAACTTAGAAGTGCGTGGAAAAATATAATTTTCCCCATTGGTGCTACCTCTGAAAACACCATTGAGGACCTCAATGCTTTGAAAGTATTTTTAAAAGCTAGATTTGTGTTGCTTTTGACACTTCAAATGTTCGTTTAACATAGCCTCTTCCCTTAGATTATACAAGGGTAAGATGTGTCTTATCTCGGCTGCTATAATAAAATGCCATCAACTGGATAACTTGCAAACCACAGAAATTTATTGCTTGCAGTCCTGGAGGCTGGGAAGGCCAAGACTAAGGCATTGGCAGATTTAGTATCTGATGAGGGCCTGACCATACACTAGTTCACAGATGGTGCCATTTTCCAGTGTCCTCACATGGAGAAGGGAAAGGGAACTTTTTTATAAGGGCACTAATCCCATTCTCTGACATAATAATGTCCCAACAGCTTCACCTCCTAGCATTATCACCTTACAACATATAATTTTTTGTGGGGGTGAGGGATGCAAACATACAGACCATGGCATTGTTTTTGTCTTGGTCACCATTGGGTCCCCAGCACATATCACAGTATTTAACACATGGTTGTTGAATAAAACTATATGGGAAATGAATTAATGGGTTAAATTCAATCTTTTTGGCTTCTTTCTCTTTTAGGTGAGGGTGAGTACATATCTGTCTTTGGATTATTAATGAAAATGCACATGAACTGTCCATTGCTGTGCTAATCAGTCAGGCCGAGGGTTTGAGTGAGGCCATGGTTTTCTCTGTGAGGGTAGCTGCTTGGGAAAGGAACAGGAGCAGGGGGAGCACTCTGGGACTGGGCAAAGGGGAGAAGCAGAATGGTCACATACATTACCTCCACACTCAGGCTGTGAGCCGCTCCATGAGCCGTTGACTTGGCAAGTTCGCTCTGACGATCCCCGGAGCACGTGGCCAGCTTCACAGCTGAAGCGCATCAGACTTCCTGGATCAAAGCTGTCCCCTAATCGGATGCCATGGGCTGGGATCCCAGGGTCACCACAAACTCCCATGCTGGTTCCTATAGCCCAGAAACAAACAGACTCCATTAATTTTCATGGAAGAAAAAGGATGGAGAAGTGGGGGAGAGAGATTGGGTATGGCTAAGGGGAAATCATGGGCCCCATGAATGAGGGAGGTGACACCTGACTGTGTGCTCAGCCCACTTTGCCTGGACAGGCTCCTACCTCTCTACTCAATGGTCAAAGAACACAGCGATCTGGGAACTACACAGGAAGGGAAGCAGCAAGGCAGAAGGAAGGTTCGTGGTGGAAATCATGCCTTCATTCTTTGGCCTATGCTAGTCTAGAATTCCAGTGGTTTAGACTGGCCACATCTCTTCCTGGTCCCTTTTCCCTTTTCCTTGCCAATACTTGCTGATTCTGTAATCCTCTCTCCATTTTCAGTGCCACTGTCTTTGCTCAGACGCTCAACATTCTTTTGCCTGAACTATTTCAAGAGCCTCCCAGCTAATGTCCCTTCCTCTTACACTCTCTCTGTAATTCATCTTCCACTTTATCCCCAAATCCTAACAATGAACATCCGCTAACCATCTGATCTTGATTTTCCCTCTGAAGCATCTCCACAGGCTTCCCAATGCCTATGGGATAAAGTCCAAGTTCCTTAGCATAGCTTCATTTCTCAACAGCCCAGCTTTAATCTTGATCTATGTATTCATTGCAATAGGGAATGAATAGGGAATCCTCAATGAAAGGCCCAGGATCAATCACCTTGAATATTCATCATTTCTTGGTGGTGAGAACATTTAAAATGATCTGTTTTAACTATTTTGAAATATACAATACATGTATCAGAATATCATATTGTACCCATAAATATATACAATGATTATTTGTCAATTAAAAATAAAATGAAACTTTTATAAAGCAATGAATACATAGATAAAGGCAATGAATTATGCAATACAGATAAACTCTAGATTAAATGTCCTAGGTCCTGTCATTGCAGTTTCACTTTGCCCCCTGCCTTTTTTTATATTCCTACATTTATCTGACTTCTGGTATTGACAAACCCACTCCAGAGATTGCTAAGGACCCAAGAGGTGAAGGAGGGTAGAAAACAGGAGCTAGAACCACAAGGTGCAGGGCCAGCACATTTCGTACTAGAGATGTATATAAGACAGCATCAGATCAGATCAGGCCATGGAGAGTAAGACAAGGAGGAGAAAAATTATGAAATAAATGGCAACTGCGTGAGAAGATAAAGTTTCCAGCTGTTGTGGAATCAGCCTCCTTGTGAAATCACGTGTGAACATCAAATGGTAATATCTGAGTGACCATATTCAGTTTGTTGTAGTCAGTAAATGTTTGTCATGTATACCCTAGCTCTTCACATTTATGTCTCTTCCACATTTCAAACTTGACATATTTCCTTTTCTACTCTAGTCTCAGATTGTCAGATCCTTCATAAACTACATTTTTCCATTCTGCTCCCCACCTCACTCAAACATTTTAAAAAAGAGGGCCCATCACATTTGGCTAAGTTTTTTTAAAAAAAATCTTTTGAAGTCTTCCAGTATGTGGCTCATGCAACAGGCCAAACTTGCACACTGATTAGCTGACCTCATCTGAAGCCACTATAGCATAATAGGCATGAGGTTGGGGTTCAGTCTTAGGAGGCTATTCTAACAGAACAGCTCCCACTGCAGCATTGGGGGCTTCTGTTTCAATGATATAAGGAGATCTGGAACAGAATATTGTACCATGGGGGCACAGTAAACAGATGGCAACTATTTATTGAAGAAGTGCATCAGCAAAGATGGTGATACTGGAGAGGTGGGAAGTGAACTCCCTGAAATATGTCTCAAATTCCAGAAATTCCTGCTTAACCTTGGTGGCCCAGTGGTTTATAACTCAAAGACTCCCGAGATTTTGTTATGCATCATCAGGACCCACTGCATAGAGTGAAGCTCAAAAATTTGACCTGTTATTCTTTAATGTGTATTTCTTAGGAACGACAGGAGATATTGTAGGATAGATGACTTCTGTAGGCTTCAGGAAGGGAGGAACCATATCTGTATCTATGGTGCACACTGAACATTACTTCTTAATTGCTTATTCTTCTCATTTCTCATCTAAGGCATTTAAGGCTCATTCATTCCCCAGCCTTAGCCTTTAGAGGATCCCTTCTAATTCTGTCCTCAGAGATCTCTAGAAAGGCTCTGTCCATGATTGTGATCTCCTAAGTGTCTGCCATCTTTGATGGATATTTGAGAGAAATGTGATTGCTACTATTCTTCAGAATATTCAGGAATTCAACAGCTGAATGCTTATTCCCTAAGGAAAAGAATTCATGCCTTCTGAAGGTTCCTTTCTTGCTTCTTACTTTTGCATACTTCCAAGGTGTCACCTGATTTTTAATCTCTCTTATGAACTTTTGATGTTGCCAAGGAAGAATTCCTTCTCTCATATGCTAAGGACCAGTACTTTTAGGAAGTCATAACAGGATGAAGTCTCTGAGTTGAAAGCCTCTAGCTGTGCTCTTTACCTGTGAGAGCAGGGATAAGGGTTCCTAAGGTCTGATCCCCTCCCATCCACTAGTCATGCCCACTCCTAGGAATCTTGTCCATCTCCCATAAGTCAAGTGCGCCTTTGGTGCCCTTCCCTAGTGCCACATGCCATACCTGAGCAGTGGGGGAGGGAGCCAGTCCAATGTCCATCCAGTCCACACATGCGGGTGGCATTTCCCACAAGAGTCCGCTTGCCGGTGCAGCTGTAACGCACAACTGTCCCCACTGTATAGCTGTCTCCAGAGATCTGGGAATGAGGTGGGGACCCTGGATGGCCACAGGACACCACTGTGGGGAACAGCAAACATCTCAGCGACTCCATACAGGGATGTATCACATCATACAGCACATGCTAGGCTTCTTGTAGTGAGAGGCAGGGAAGAAGAGAGACCTACAGGCACATGTCCTGCTGGTACACCCACCTGGCATCAGCAGACGATGCCCCACCCACCTCAATGGACAGTTTCCAGATCTGTCAAACAAGAGTACCTGCTCAGCATTAGTAGGTACACAATAATTAGATTTTTTTTTTCTTTCTTGCCTCTTGCATTCACCCTTCCCTCTTTCCTCACTGCCATAGGGCATACTCAAGATGTCTCTGGAAAGGAAGTGGTACCCATAGCATACACAAGATAAAGTGAGAGATCTGTCACCCTAGAACTATCTTCACTGGCCACAGGTTCCAGAATGAGGGCCAGTTATAGTCCTCTTCCAGCTGCGTCTTACAGTTGCCTCATCAACTGTCCTCAACCTCTCCCTTCAATATGCAAGCCTCTTTTCCTTAAACACCAAAGTGTAACTGTGAAAACCAGTGATAACATTAGAACACCAGAACTGGGATGTACAGTCTAGAGCAGGGCAACACTGTCACCATCACTGGTCTTGGCTTTCCCATTGTTCTTGTTACAGGTTGATCCCAGCGTTCTCTCATTTATTCAACACACTTTTGTTGAGTGCATGTGATGTGTTAGGTACTGTTCTATGTGTTTAGGAGAACAAAGTCCATGCTTTCATGGATCTTACGTTCTAGTGGAGAAGAGAGATTACAAATATGAAAATAAATAGGTCATTCAAGGGGGTACCATGAAGAAAAAGAAAGCTGTGTCAGGAAAGGGTGTTCAGGGGTAAGGTGAGGGTGCTATTTCTGGATAGGGTTTTCGGGGAAGACATCTCTGAGGTGGTAACATTTGAGCAGTGTCTTGAATGGTGTGAAGAGGCCAACCATGGAAAGCTTGGGGGAAGAACATTGCGAAGCATCAAGTATAAAGGCCCAGAGACTAGAATGAGCTTGGTGTGTTGAAGGAACAGCAAATAAGCCAGGGATGCTGGAACGGAATGAGCGAAGAAAGAATGGGGGAAGGCAAAGGTGGAGAGGGCATTAGGAGTCAGATCATGGCATGGAAGCTGGATTTCAAAAATAAACATTTTGGAAACCACTGGAATGGTAACCTTCATACATGGCTGGTGGGAATATGAAATGGTGCAGTCACTTTGGAAAACAGTTTGGAAGTTCCTCAAAAAGTTCAACACAGAGTTACCATATGACTCAGAAATTTTACTTCTAGGTATAGTTTCATTTTTAAATTAATTAATTAATTAACTATAAAGATGGGACTCCTAGGTATATTTTCAAAAGAACTTATAACGTAAAAATAGATAGCAGCATTATTCATTATTATTATTACTATCATTATTCATTATTCAGCCTGCAAGTGGAACCATAATAGCCCAAATGCAGAAATGTTTATCAACTAATGAATGGATAAACAAAATGTGGTATATCTACATAATGGAAGAGTATTTGGCCATAATAAGGAATAAAGTACTGACAGATGCTAAAACATCAGTGAACTTTGAAAACCTTATGCTAGACACAAAGTGAAGAAGCCAGACACAAAGAGACACACATAAAATTCCTCTTATATGAAATGTTCAACACAGGCAAATCCATAGAGACAGAAAGCAGATGAATTGTTGCCAGGAGCTGGGATGGGGTGAGGAATGGGGAATGACTGCTAAGGGGTTCCTTTTGGGATGATGAAAATGTTCTGGAATTAGACAATGGTGATGATTGCACAACTTGGTGAATATACTAAAATCACTGAATTGTATACCTTAAAAAAATGAATTGTATGGTGTGTGAATTATATTTCACTAAAAAAAAGAAAAAAATGCAAATGAATTACATCCTCTAGTTGAAAGAAAAGATTGTCAGATTGAATTTAAAAATCAAAACTAGGCAAGGCATGGTGACTCATGCCTGTCATCTCAGCACTTTGGGAAGTGGAGGTGGTAAGATCACTTGAGTTCAGGAGTTCGAGACCAGCCTGGACAACATAGTGAGACCTCATGTCTACGATAATTAATTAATTAATTAATTAAAAGATTAGCCAGGTGTGGTTGAGTATTCCTGTAGTTTAAGCTACTCAGGAGGTTGAGGAGGGAGGACTGCTTGAGCTCAGGAGTTCGAGGCTGTAGTGAGCTGTGATTATGTCCCTATACTCCAGTCTAGGTGACAGAGTGAGATTTTGATTTAAAAAAAAATCACAATGAGATGCTTTTTACATTAGAAAAGTTAAAAATAAAATGATATATAAAAAGTAACAGTATTAAGTGAAGGAAGCTGATTGCAAATTACAAGCAAACCTGATTGCACTTTGCTTTGTGCTTCATAGACACTATGTTTTTTTACAAACTGAAGGTTTGTGGCAACACTGTGTGGCGCAAGTCTATCACCACCATTTTTTCAAATGGAATGTGATTACTTCAAGTCTCTGTGCCACATTTTGGTAATTCTCCTAACATTTCACATTTTTCATCATTATATCTGTTGTGGTGATCTGTGACCAGTGATCATCGATATTATTATTGTAATTGTTTTGGGATGCCACAAACCATGCCCCTGTAAAATGGAGAACTTAATCCTCCACTGACCAGTCATTTCCTCATCTTTTTCCTTCTCCGCCGGCCTCCCTATTCCCTGAGACACAACAGTATTGAAAGTAGGCCGACTAATAACCCTACAATGGCCTCTGGGTGTTTACTGAAAGGGAGAGTTGCATGTCTCTCACTTTTTATTTTTTTTTGAGGAGTTTAAGAAAATATTTAATATACACAAATTACAGTAATAATTGGAATTTATGTTATTTATATGTTTTCTCAGGTACTGTCACAATGTGAAAATACCCTCAATTTAGGAAGACTTTGATATATTGCATAATTAAGATGATTTAGATGATAATTTCTGCAGAATTATTTTCTTTCTTTCTGTCTTTTAATTTAGATTCAGGGGTTACACATACATGTTTGTTACGTGAACATATTGTGTAGTGGTGAGGATTGGGTCTCAGGTAGCTTATTCCCCAGATAGTGAATATTGTGTCCTGTAAGTAGTCTCCGAACTCTAACCCTTCTCCCCTCAACCCCCAATTGGTGTCCCAGTGTCTATTATTTCCACCTTTGTGACCATTTAGCTCCCACATATAAATGAGAACATGTGGTATTTGGTTTTCTGTTTCTGAGTCAGTTCACTTAGGATGATGATCTCCAGCTCCTCCCACTTTGCTGCAAAGAACATGATTTCATTTTTTTTTACAGTTGCATAGTATTCCATGGTGGATATATATCACATTTGCATTATCCACTGATTGGTTGATGGGCATTTAGGCTGATTCCACATCTTTGCAATCGTGAATTGTGCTGTGATAAACACGCAGGTGCAGGTGTCTTTTATATAACGACCTTTGTTCTGTAGGATAGACACCTAGTAGGGGGGCTGCTGGATCAAATGGTAGATCTATTTTTAGTTCTTTGCATGTCTCTCAATTTAAAGCAAAAGCTAGAAATGTTAAAGCTTAGTGAGGAAACCATGTTGAAAGCCAAGACAGGCCAAAACTAGGCTTCTTGCACCAGTTAGTCAAGTTGTGAATGCAAAGGAAAGTTCTTGAAGGAAATTAAAAATGTTCCTTCCACGAATATATGAATGATAAGAAATCAAAGAGCTTATTGCTGATATAGGGAAAGTTTTAGTGATCTGAATAGAAAAATCAAACCAGCTACAACATTCTCTTAAAGGAGAAGCCTAATCCAGAGAAAGGCCCTAATCTCTTCAATTCTTGAAATGCTGAGGGAGGTGAGAAAACTGTAGAATAAAAGTTTGAAGTTAGCAGGTTAGTTCAAAAGGATTAAGGAAAGACACCACTTCCATAACATAAAAGTGCAAGGTGAAACAGCAAATTCTGATGTAGGAGCTGCAGCAAGTTATCCAGAAGACCGAGCTAAGATCATCGATGAAGGTGGCTACATGAAACACCAGATTTTCAGTGTGGATGAAACAGCCTTTTATTGGAAGAGGATGCCATCTAAGACCTTCATAGCTAGAGAGGAGAAGTCAATGCCTGGCGTCAAAGCTTCAAAGAACAAGCTGACTCTCCTGTTAGGGGCTAATGCAGCAGGTGACTTTAAGTTGAAACCAACACTCATTTGTCATCCCCCAAATCCTAGAGCCTTTAAGAATCATGCTAAATCTACTCTGCTTCTGCTCTGTAAATAGAACAGGGCCTGAGTGACAGCACATCTGTTTACAATATGGTTTATTAACTATGTTAAACCCCACCGTTGAGACCTACTGCTTAGGAAAAAAGATTCCTTTTAAAGTGTCACTGCTCATTGACAATGCACCTGGTCACCCAAGAGCTCTGATGGAGAGGTAGAAGGAGATTACCATTGTCTGTTTACACAACATCCATTCTGCAGTCATGGGTCAAGAAGTACTTTTGACTTTCAGTCTTATTATTTAAGAAATACATTTCATAAGGCTATAGCTGCCATAGGTAGTGATTCCTATGATGGGTCTGTGACAAAGGAAATTGAAAACCTTCTGAAAAAGATTCACCATTCTAGATTCCTTTATGCACATTCATGATTCGAGGGGGTGGGGGAGGTCAAAATACCAACACTAACAAGAGTTTGGGAGAAGCTGATTCTAAGACTTATGACTTTGAGGGCTTTGAGACTTCAGTGGAGGAAGTAATTGCAGATGGAGTGGAAGTAGCAAGAGAGCCATAATTAGAAGTGGAGCTTGAAGATGTGACTAAATTGCTGTACTCGCATGATAAAAATTGAACAAATGAGGAGTTCTTTATGGATGGGCAAAGAAAGTGTTTCTTGAGATAGAATCTACTCTTGATGTAGATGCTGTGAACACTGGTGAAATGACAACAAAGGATTTAGAATATTACATAAGCTTAGTTGATAAAACAGAGGCGGAGTTTGAGAGGATTGACTCCGATTTTGAAAGAAGTTCTACTGTGGGCAAAATGCTATTGAACAGCATTACATGCTATAGAGAAATCTTTTGTGAAAGGAAGAGTCAATCAATGTGGTAGACTTCACTTTATCTTACTTTAAGAAATTGCTACCACAGCCACCCCAGCCTTTAGCAGTCACCAACCTGATCAGTCAGCAGCTGTCAACATTGAAGCAAGACCCCTACCAGCAAAAAAGCTACAACTCTCTGAGGGCTCAGAGGATCATTAGCATTAGCAACAAAGGATTTTATTTTTGAGTTGGAGTCTCAGTTTGTTGCCCAGACAGGAGTGTAGTGGCATGCTCACAACCACTGCAGCCTTGACTTGCTGGGATTAGGCGATCCTTCTACCTCACCTTCCAAGAAGCTGAAACTAAAGGCATGTGCCACTGTGCCTGGCTAATTTATCTTTTTGATTTATCATAAAGACAAGCTCTCACCAAGTTGCCCAGGCTGGCCTTGAACCTCTGACCTCAAGCAATCCTCCCACCTTGGCCTTCCAAAGTGTTGAGATTACAGGCGTGAGCCACTGTGCCAGGCTCAATAAAGTATTTTTAATTAAGGTATGTAAATTTTAAAAAAAGAAATAATGCTATTTTATACTTAATAGGCTATAGTAAAGGATCATCATGACTTTTAGGTTAACTGGGAAACCAAAAAATTCTTGTTAGTTACTTTATTATAATATTTGTTTTATTTCAGTGGTCTGGAACTGATTCCACAATATCTCCAAGGTATGCCTGTGTGTTAATATAATTACATATTCACTGTATCAATATCATTATTGACTTCAGATACATAAGCATTGGGGCAAAAAGTTAGTATAGATAGGGTCACTTTATTATAATAAAAGCTTCATTATGCAGAAGATACAACAATTTGAAACGAGCAGGTGCTCTGAATGTCAGCTGTACCACTGTATACAGGTGTCCATTTCCAACCCCAAACAACTTGTTGGTCATAATTGGGGTTGGACAGCCAGGTCGGGGTCCTCAAGCAAGGGAAGTATGGGCAGTGAGTAGCTGTACTAGGCTCCTAATAGATGTAAAGACAAGGGCATAAGGAAATGGAGTCACCCAAACTGAAGGGCTTATAAAATGTAGTTACTCTGCTAGAGGTGGGTAGACTGCTGAATGCTCAGCTCCATGCCCATGACTCCCCTAGAATGCTTCTTCACCTCCACTACAAGGAAGGCTGGGAGAGAGTAAGCCATAGGATTCCCCTTTAGGAACCAGAGGAGAGAGCAGGAGACCAGGGGCTGTTCTTAGAAGGACTTGGGAGGCCAGCCACCAGATGGCAGGATTGCAAGCACCTTCCCCACCCTGGATTTTTTTTTTTTAACTTGTTGTCCCTATATCTTTTCCTAATAATAATCAGTGCAGATATTGTTTATTGGGTAACTACTTTTTTATGGCACCTTTTAATGTATTTTTTTTTCATTTAATCTTTGAGTAACTCCATGATCTAAGAAACCAAGGCTCTAGGAGGTTAGGGAATCTCTCACACCACACAGTTTGTTCAGTGACAAAGCCAGAATTCAGTCTAGCTGGGCTGCCTCCAGAGCCCAGGAAGTTGTCTTTCTGGAGGAGCAAGGAAGGGGTAAAATGGGGAAGATGGCGTCCCCCTGGGCAGCCAGTTCTGAAGGAAGAAAACTCTGAAGGCTGAAGAGGTTGCTGGCAGTTCTAGAATTGGTAAGGCAACTAACCTAGCAGGGGCTTGAGAAGGGGTCTCATAGCCAAGAAGCAGCCAGAGTGACTGTCGCTGTGATGCCACGCACGCACACACACACGGAAAATGGAAGACTGTTATTTGCTATGGGCCACCCCATCAATCCTTTTGAGCAGATGACATCTACTTACAGAGACACTGTGGGCGGGGACGGTCCCATGTGCCGTCTCCCTGGCAGCTGAGCACTGGCGTGCCCAGGAGGTAGAAACCGTGGTTGCACTGGTAAGACACAGTGGTGCTGTAGCTGAATCTGTGTGGGCCGCTGGCATGGACCTGACGGATGCTGTTTTCTTGGTGTCCAGGATCGGTACAGTTGATGACTGCAATTGAACAGGACAATTAGAGGCAAAAACCTGGAAGTGAGGATTTTCTTAAGCTTTTAAATTTTATTTATTTAGTTAGTTAGTTAGAGTTTCACTCAGTCACCCAGGCTGGAGTGCACTGGCACACTCATGGCCACCCCAGCATTGACCTGCTGGGTTCCAGCAATCCTTCCACCTCAGCCTTCCAAGTAGCCAGAACTACAGGTGCACACTACCACATCTGGTTAATTTTTAAATTTTATGTATTGTAGAGATGAGGTCTTGCCAAGTTGCCCAGGCTGGTCTCGAACACCCAGGCTCGGGCAATCCACTTGCCTTGGCCTCCCAAAGTTCTGGGATTATAGACTGAGCCATCAAGCCCGGCCTTAAGCTTTTAAATAAGAATTCAGAAGTCCAAACAGGCACAATTCCCAGCCCAGAGCAAAAGTAGGCAAGGAAGAAGGTCCTGCCAGAGGGGGTGAGCCAGTCCTGAAGTTGCTGCACTTCTCCCCTGACTTCGGTCATCTTGTCAGGGGACCCTTCTGTGTCCAGCTAGTCATCACCTCCTTGGAGAAGCCTTCCCAACTCCTCTCAGACTGGCTAGCCACTCCCTGTCCCGTGCTCCCTTGTGCAAGCCTTTTGATGACTTTACCTGTCTACACTGTGACTTGTTTGAACACAGGAGTCCCTCGAGGGCAGAGATGTCTAGTGTCTATGTCCCTGATACCTAGCACAATGTGCCTCCCACAGCAAAGCTGTCAATTGTAAAACTGACGCATTTGAGCTGACTTGAACAGGGGCTGGGCTCTTTTGGAAATGGGTTTAATCACTTTTATGAGTATTTCAGGGAGACAATAATATCCTGGGGGATAAATTTGACTTTAAAGTCTTCAAGTGTTTCCAAAGCAGCATAATTCAAAATCAGAGTTAGATTTTAAAATAATGACAAATTATTCATAACCCGTGATATGTGCTTCTAAAACATCTTCGCAACCATTTTCTTACCTGCATCTCAAACTCCTCATGTGAAGTGGGCAGGAGAGGTATTTTAAAAAATCTTTGACAAGCCTTTAAGATATAAGGTATTTTTACCCTTGATGAGCCTCTTTGAGGCTTCACTGCTGTAAAACACCTTTAAAAGCTCTAAGGAGCTATTTCCTAAATAGTCTAGAAATATCTTCTAGTCAGTCTGTCATTGAGTCTTTGGTTTCTTCTCTGTGCCTCCACCATATCCCCAACCCTTACTGCTTTGTCTCAACTCTTAGACTCTCTGCTTTTTATTTTTTATTCCACTCTTCTGCTTTTTAAAATTTTCATCAAGAATGAGGATCTATTAAATGTGATTATATAAAGGAGTTGCAGCAGTCATTCTGCAAGCATGAGGAAAGACCAAGCTATTGCTCTTGATCTCACTGAATGCTGCAGAAATGATACTACTTCTAGATTTCTTGTTCATGTGAGAAAAATAAACCTGTTTGTTTTTTAAAAAAGAATGGGGTTCTATATGATAATGATACATTATTTGTTCTAAGAAAGGTAAACAAGAATACTTGAAGGTGGAGCTAAAGTTTTGATTTCCTTACATAACTCAGGGTGAAGTTTTACACGGTTGTATCTAGGGGGTGAGATTCCTATTTATGACCCTTCTGTGCCCCAAGTTTCCCTGTCTGAATTAGAATGATGCCAGCACTGAATTCACTGGCTCCTGCTCCTGGGACACAGAGCACAGATGGCAGAGGTGGTGGAAAGTGGAGTGGGAGAGGAGAGCAACTCACTTCTGCAGATGGGCAGCGTGTCACTCCACTGCCCACTGGCCAGGCACTGGGATCTAGTGGCCCCTTCAGTCACATATCCAGGGTTGCACACAAACTTGACTACATCATTGAGGTTAAACTGGTTGCCATGAGTGAGGCCATTGATAGGGTTGCCAGGGTGTCCACAGGTAATTGCTGCAACAAAACAGAAGACAGGTAAACCCTCCTATTATTCCACACCCCTAATCTTATTCTACTCTCACCTGGCATCAGTAAAGTTCAGTGCTAAGTCTAACTTTAGTCTCTTTTGCTGTAAAACCTTTATGTCTCAAAATAATCATGGATACATTCTGTCCTCCTTGAAGACATGTCCATAACTTGGACGACCTGAGAGAAATCATTCTATGACTTTCCACAGTGTATTTGTCCTGGATTATGGTTCTCAGAGGTCTTAGTGGCCAGTCTCATCTTTTTTCCCCTGCCTCTGACCCCTGGGCTCCCCACCTCCACTCTTCAGTGCTGGGTATGCCAATGGTCATCTCTCAGCTGATTCAGACCCACCCTTGTTCCTGGGCCAACTTGCAGAGCCAGAGTCAATACTCACCAAGCCTGGTGCACAGTTCAGTCACCCTGCGAGAAGAGTGGCCCAGGTAGACTGTGGGAGCCCAGGACTACTGATCGGAGGGGTCCCCACATCCCATTCCTTCCATGTGTAGGGAGTTCAGGAAGTGCAATTCCTGGTCTTTCTCTGTGCTATTTTAATCACTCTGCCCAGTAAATGCAGTGACCAGTCTGTGCAATTTGGGAAGAAGGAGCCAGCACACTTAGCTCAGCTCTGCTTTTTTCCTCCTGGGACCTCGCAGCCTGCAGGGAGCAATGTGCTCACTGCTCTCCTGGAGGCAGCTTCCTTACCCCCAACCCCTGATGCTGCAGGGCTGCCTGCCCCAAGGCAGTGTTGCTTCTGATTGGGTGGGCGAATTCATCTCATTCTGGGGTTCATGCAGCAGGCCCCACCTGGCTCTCACTTTAAGCTCTGTTTTCCAACTCAGCCTTTAATACTAAGAGATGATATTTGGGCCTCCGTCTCCCACTCTATTTTGTTTCATAATCTGTTCAGACATGCACAGGGAAGAGGAAGGGGGCCTTGAGTGCACAGGCCATTCCAGAACACTCGTGCCTGTCCCTCTATCCCAGTTGTCCCTCCTTTCTCCCAGTAGTGTGGTTTATTCTACTCAGCTGCACTAGCCTCTTGGAGGTTTCTCGAACATACCAGTCAAGTTCCTGCCCCAAGGTCTTTGTATTTGCTTTTCTCTCAGCCTGGAACACTGTTTCCCCCAGACATCCCTTAGTTTTTTCCCTTCTCCTCAGGTCTCCTCTCAAATGTCACCATATCAGTGAAGTATTTCCTTGGTCTCCGGCGGGCCACTCCCAGCACTGCCAGGCCCCTTGCTCTGCTCAACCTCTCTCCATAGCACTGTCACCAACTGACATGCTATACATGAGCTTCTGCATTTGTCTACTGCTTCTCGCCTTTCACCTGAATGCAAGCTTGTTGAGAGTAGCTTTGTTCATTGCCATGTCCTTGGTGTATGTACCAGTGCCTGCCACACAGTAGGAGCTTGATAAACACGTGCTGAGTGAATGATCAATGAGTAAGCACATGAGTGGGCAGATGCCTGGGCGTCCACTCTGGTCCTTAGTTCCATCTTGTCCCTACCTGGAACCTTAGTCTCATGGGGCGTACTCCCACCAGATGTTTCTGCCAGGCCTCTCCCTTAGCTCTGGATTTTAGCTGTGAGAGGATGAGGAACCATGAGGGCTGTTTGCTTAGCCCAATACTTAGTTTCATGAGGACCTCTTCCAAACTCAAATGGTGTTAGTGGGTGTGGGGCTATCAGATAAGGTAGGAGCCAGCCTTTGCTGTGGCCACATGCCATATTTTCTGGGCCAGTTCTCTTTTGTAAGTTTCAGCAGTGGCATCTCTGACTCTAGTGGAGGGAGCTGGGCAGAGCAGGAGAAAAGTCATTAGTGGACCACAGGGTTTCAAGCTGGCCTGGCACAGTGGGATAAGGAGAGGCTAGGAAGGCTGGCAGACCAGTATTTACAGTGCAACCCCATCCCTTCCTGACTTTAGGTCTAAGGATAATTCACTCTGATCTTCAATTTATATAGCTATAAAGTAGAGATTTTGAGATGCATTTCACAGGCTTGCTTTGAGAATAGATTTCCAAATTTACTTATCATTAACTGTTTACTGAGAGCCTTTGATGTGCTAGGTACTCTGTTCTGGAGTATGACACACAAAGAAGAATGCAATATTATAGTCTCTGACTTCAGGGAGTTCATTTCACGGGCTTGTAGGGCAGGAGGAAAGCAGATGTTAAAATACAGTGGGCAGGGCTGAGACTGAGACAGAGACCGATGCTGGAGCAGTATCTCCCCTCTCTGGGAAGAGAGTGCCTTGAAGAGGGCTCCCCAAGGAGTGGCATGATGTCTCAAGGGTGAGCAGGGCGTTGCCAGTTCACAGAGGTGGTGCAAGAGTGGAAATAAGCTTCATGGGGTGTGTGAACCCAGTGAAATCACATGCAGAGTATTGAGTGAAACAAGCTGCTTGGGAGAGCTTGGGAGAGGATCTACCACTTTCACTGTATTTAGAAAGGCTCGTGACTCCCCTCCTCAAAGTAGCCAGGCGTGGTGGCTCATGACTGTGATCCCAGTACTTTGGGAGGCGGAGGCTAGAAGATTACCTGAGCTCAGGGGTTTAAAACCAACCTGAGAAACATGGCAAGTCCTTATCTCTACAATAAATCAAAAATCAGCCAGGCATGGTGGCGCATGCCTGTGGTTTCAGTTACTTGGAAGGCTGAGGTGGTAGGCTTGCCTGAGCCCAGCAGGTCGAGGCTGCAGTGACTGTGAGTGTGCCACTGTACTCCAGCCTGGGTGACAAGAGTGAGACTCTGACAAAAAAAAGTGTATAAAGTGAGAGAGAAGAGTGCTGAAGATATACACTTTTGGGAATACCACCTTCTAAAGGGCAGACAGGCATAAAAACCTGTAAAGGAAACTGAGGTGTGGTCAGAAGAGTTGTCTATTAAAACTTAATAGGAGTGGGTGGTGTCATGGAAGCCAAGGTCAGAGCCGCAGGAAATGTCAGAGACCCCAGGCAGGTCAAGAAAGATAAAGATGGAGAAGTATCCATTAGAGTCCTCAGCAGGGTCATTGATGACCGACAAGGTCACTGTTCCCGTTCTGGCCAGGGCTCTTCCTGCTTCCCGCATAGTCCCAAGCCACAGGCCCTATCCAGAGAGCAGCAGGAGCAGAGGCAGCTGCTGTCACCCAGCTCCGTCTCTGGCACCCCCATACACAGCCCTTGTGCTGTCTTTGGGAACCGGGCTTGCTTTCGGCTTTCAGAGTTTTGGCTGGCCCTTTGCAGATTTCTGTACTGCAGCTCAAGGGTAGCAGAGACTTTGAGGATTCTGAAACATGGACCAGGACCAGAGTGACTGGGATGGGGGTTCATTCTGGCTAGAACAGAGAAGTAGGGTGCAGGGGAACAACTCAGGATGTAGCGGCCCTTGCTGCTTATGAGAGTGGAGGGGTGGAAGCAGCTCTTTCAAGCTGTGTGACGGCTAATTTTATGTGCCAATTCAGTCCTGCCATGGTACCCACATATATGGTCAAATATTATTCTAGATATTTCTGTGAAGGCACTTTTAAGATAAGGTTAACATTTAAATTAGGAGACTTTAAGTAAAGTAGATTACCCTCCATAATGTGGATAGGCCTCATCAATTTGACTGAGGGCCTTTACAGAACAAGACTGACATCCCTCAGCCTGCAGGCTGTCCTCACACTTGAACTGCAACTCTTTTCTGGGCCTGCAGCCTGCCAGCCTATGCCACAGAATTTGGACCTGCCAGCCTCCACAATTGTGTGCGCCAATTCCTTAAAATAAGTCTCTTTCTTTATACATGTACACACACACACACACACACACACACACACACACACACACGCCACACACGATTCTGTTTCTTTAGAAAAGCCTGAACTAATACAGGCTGAAAAGGGGAGAAGGATAAAGTGTCCTGATGATGCCTGAGCACTTCACGGGAGCTTGAGCCCAGGGACCACCAGGTCTGAATTTCCTGAAGGAAGAGACTATGACACATACAATTCGTGCTTATCCACAACCTAACGTGGTTGGCACACAGAAGGTGCTAAGGAAATGCTTACTGAATGTAAACAGAAAGGGAAGGTCAGTGGTAGCAGAGGAGAGAGTTAAAAATAGACTAAGCTCACTAAGGAGGCAGGAGAGAAGGAGATCCAGAGACTGGTGGAGGAATTAGCCTTGGGCCAGGAGAGAGATTCTTCTTCTGAGGTGCCAGGAAAGAGGGCAAGGATGGATGCAGAGAAGACAGATGTGTGGGTTGGGAAGCAGGAAGTAGAAGGAGTTATGATCTCATGGCTTTTATCATCCCTACAAAATAGCAAATGGTACTATTTGCTTAGATAATAGTTGTTGGGGTTTGCATGCCTGACCTCAGTTAATCCTCACAACCCCATGAGGTAGGCACCATCATTATCCCACAGGAAATAGAACTTCAGAGGAATCAAGAGACTTGTTCGAGAAGCACAGTTTCTACATGGTGCATCTGAGTTTTGGATGCAGCTTCTCCAATTACAGGCTGCCTTAACTATTTACTTTAGTAATTTGTTGAGGATATAGGTAGAAGTGGTGGAATACAAGTCTTCAGAAAAGAGGTACATTTGTGAAACGGCTATGTGAGGAACGGACAAGAGGCTACCTGAGGAAATGTAGAGGAGAGCTGGAAAGTCTTGGGAGTCTGGCTGATGCTGGATACTTTGAATCCATGTGTGATGGCAGCTAACACAGTGCCTAACACAAAGTGCACTCTTGCAAATATTTGTTCTTTTACTTCTGCCTTACCCATTCAGAGGCTTCCCAAATCTCTGTGCTCCGGGTTCTCCCATTCTCTATACATTTTCTAAGAGATCCTGGGTACTATGATGTGACAGGGTGGAAGCATTACCACCACCACCACCACCACCACCACCACCACTACCATCATCATCATCACAACAACAACAGCAGCTGCTTAACATTGATTTCTAATCATTTTACATGTATTAATTTATTTATTCCTCACAGTAGTCTTTTAGGTTCCTGCTTTTTATAGACAAGGAACCCGAGACTCTGTGAGTTACCAACTTGTGTACAGACACAAAGCCACCGAATATCTGGTGATATCTGGTAGTCAAGCTGAGATGTGAACCCTGGCAATCCGGGCCCACACCTGAATGCCTAACTCCTTCCCACTTGCCTTTGAATACAGTCTAGTCTAAAACGGAAAGTCTTTAGGACAGGCATTCTCCAGTCAGACCTCAACGTTCTCTACTATTCATTACCTACACCTCTTCACACACATTGTATGCCAATCAGTTTCCTGAAGGCATTTGAATTTGCAGCTTCTGGATGCAACTAAATATCTTTTGTTTACACACATCTGAAAAAGTGACTAAATATAGATGGATCTTGTTTTCTTTTCTTTCTTTTTTGCGATGGGGGTCCTGCTATGTTGCCTAGACTGGGTATCTAACTCCTGAACTCAAGGGATCCTCCCACCTCAGCCTCCTAAGTACCTGGGATTACAGGTATGCCACCACACCCAGCTTGGGTCTTGTTTTTTGTAAACCTAATACTTAAAGTATTATTAAGACTAATTTTCATGCATTATTTATTGAGTAAGTCTCAATATTTTATGGCCCTATTACATATATGGAAAGCCAAATGAAGAAGAATTAAAAACAAAAACCTGCCTTACAAAAATTAAAAAGAAAAACCCACACTTTACATAAAGGTTCATTTTAGGGAAATTTAAAAAGTGAGGAATTTTCCAAATGACTTTCAGGCAGCTGAGGATAATGGTGGTCCTAAATTTTAAAAATGCAGATTAATAAGAAGAACAAATAAAAGTATAGAAAGCCTTGGCCTATAGCATAACTAGAAGACAGAGTATGATACAAACTTGAAATTATTTGTAAATAGAGAAACAGGAAACCCAGGCAGAGTTATCTCTCATGCTTTTGTTATAAGCTTTTGCGGAGAGCAAGACCGAATGGGAAAGAGAAGAGAGGAGCAGGCAAAGGGCCTAATATGGATCTAAGATCACTGCCAGAAAGAAAGAGTCCATCTTGAATGTGAACATTCTGAAAAGAAATCCTAGTATGTCAGTGCACAACTACCGGGAAGGGACATAAAGGTTTGTGTGATTTTCCCCACTGCTTCTGGAAGAAAAGAAAGAGATATACACTGGGTGATAAAGGGAAAAAGAAGCAAAGACGGGAAACTCTAGAAACTATAAGACAAATGAGAACAAACAAGGAAAAAAAAGAAGGCCATACAACCTCTCCCTCACCACACACAAAACCCTTCAATTAAAAAAGTAGAAAAAAGAAAAAAAAAGAAAAAGAAAAAAAAAAAAGCAGAAAAGAAACCAATCGCTCTCAAATCCCAAAGTCAGGCAAACATCTGAGGGAATCAAAATGAGGTAAAGATGATCAGAGAGAAAGAGTTTGTTACCCTGACAGAAGAATGTACTCTTAAACCATTCTAAAGTTACAACATGAATAGAAAACATCAGCTTAAATCTATACAAAGATACTCTAAGAAAAAATAGAAAAAAAATCAAAACATTTCATTTGATGACTACCTCCCCATCGAAAATAAAATGCATGAGACATAAGAAAACTGTAGCAACATCCTAAACTGAATCAAATATTCTCAAATAAGCATTTGGAGATATTAAAAATCACCATGAGAATCAGACAATCAAAAACTAAAAGCACAAATGTACAAAAATGGGGAGAAAATAAAATATAACTGATTGCACGCAGGAAAGAAATAGAAGAAAAAGACAGAATCATCTGAAAAATGAAGACTAAATTATAACAGGCCCAAGGAGGAATATTCTTAAATGATAATTTAATAAGAGTTATTGCAGAAAGTCAGGTAAACAACCAAGGGAATTACCTTGAGATAAAGAAAGAGGTAAAAATGATCAGAGAAGAGACTGAATCAGAAGATGGGCAAAGAAGATTCAATAGACACAAAATTAGAGTTGATGAAGAGGGAAAACAAAACAATGAGCAACAGAACACGACACCAGTGTTTAAAACTACAGTCCAAGAAAAAAATTTCAGTAATAAAAAAAGATCTGAATCTATATATCCAAAGACCCACAGAATACCTGGGGAAATTATCTTGGAATAGTCAACTCTGAGGCATGTACTAATAAAAATATTGGGCCTTAGGATAAAGGAAATAAATAATCTAGACCCCCCAGAAAACCACCAACTGATCTATAAGAAAAATAGAATTAAATTGATAGTATAATTCTAAGAATCAAATACATAGAAACAGAGAGTAGAATGGTCCTTACTAGAGGCAGGGAAGTGAGGGGAAATGGGGAGATGTTGGTCAAATGTTATAAAGTTGCTGTTATAGAGGATGAATTCATCTAGAAATCCAGTGAACAGCATGATGATTATAGTTAATAATACTGTATTGTACACAGGACATTTCCTAAGAGAGTAGACTCCAGGTGCTCTTCACACACACACACACACACACACACACACACACACGTAACTATGTGAGGAAAAGTTAATTTGCTTGACTGTAGTAATCATCTTACTATATATAAGCATGTCAAAACACCATGTTGTACATCTTAAATATACACAATTTAAAAAGCAAGGTGCACGAGGAAAACACACAAGTAACATGCAAAGCAAAACAATGATGGAGCATTTTTTAAAAAGTCAAAGGAAGAAATGATGACCAAGAATTTTATATCCAATCCAGTTATCCTTCAAATCTTAAAGTATGGAAAAAGCAGTTTCTAATGTGCAAAAACTAGGAGGAGAATATTGTGCAAAGAGGGCCTTAATGAGGAATGTATTAGAGACTAAGCTTGATCTTACTAAGAGATAATGGAAAATTTCAGCAGTATTGGTGTGCTTTTGATATATTAATTGTAGATCTAGGAGTAAAATAAAAGTAGGGGAAAAGTAGAATAATAATATATAAACACTATAATAAATGTTTTATGGTTTGACAAGGTGGAAATAATGCAACTAAAAATGGCAGGAGAAGGAGAGGAAAAGGAAAGCAGAATAAGCTCATTTATTGTTTTATAACTAATAGTTGAAAATCAAAGGATACTACCAAAACCAATAAACTTGGTAATAAAAGGTTAAATAAGAAAGCAGGAAGCTAATGGCATTAAAATGTTATAAGTACAAAAGTAAACAACAAGACAAAGATACAAACTTTCGTAATTACCAAAAGAAATGAAAAAAGAAAACAGATATAGATACCATAAATATAGTTCATACACAATAATTATGTAAAACACGACAGAATCAAGACCAAAAATGTCAGTTAAATCAATATATGTAAATGAGTTAAGCTAACTTAAAAGAAAACTATTTTTAGATGAGCTCAAAAGGCAATTTATTCTGCAAACAAGAAAAACACAGCTTAAGAGATTTAGAAAAGCTAAACTAAATGACCAATCAGAGGTGTACCAGGCAAAAGAATGAAAGTAGGGATCACTAGCCTAATATCAAGAAATGCAAAATTCCGGCAAAAAAATACCAAAAGTGACAAAGAAGTCATTTTTAAAAGCTGAAATCCACAATTTGCAGTGGAAATACTAGTTGTGAATATCTATGCACCAAATAACACAAGAATAATTTTTATATAATAGAAACTACAGGAAATGCAAGGGAAAACAGAAACACACTAATAATAGAAAATTTTAAACCCAATCTCTCAGGTCAAAACAGACCAAGTGGACAAAAAATTAAGTAAGAATGTGGAGGACACAGATAACATAATCAATAAGCTATATCTTATGAATATGTAAATAGAATATTACATCCTAACACTCTTTAATCTCAAGTGCATATGGAACACATTCATAACAATTAATAAACTATTGGCTCACAAAAACATGAAGTAGAGATATTATATGCAATGCAATAAAATTAGAAATGAATAACGTAAGAAAAACAAAAAAAGTCCTTCTACCTAGAAATGTTAGAAAATGTTTCTTGGTAAAAGGGGAAATTAATAGCAAAATTACAGAATTTCTAAAAAATAATAAACACTGATTAGAATCTATGAGATATAATAAAAGCAATGATCTGAAGAAATTTCATAATCTTGAACGTATATCAATAGAAATCAATAGAAATGAAATAATAACAATAATTAAATTACCATTTCAAAAGCCCAAAGATGAATAAAAGAGTAAATCAAAAGAAATCACAAGAAAGGAGATAAATAATAAAGGTGAAAGCAGCAATTAACAATGCAGAGAACTGAAAACAATAGATGTAATGATTTTGCCTTTGAAAAAAAAGAACAAATATTAAAAAAAAAAATCCTAGCTAATCTAATCAAGAACAAAAGGGTTCAAGTCCATGTTGAAAGAGGCCCGTGACTAGGGAGAGTGGATGACATACTTACGCACACAGAAAGGAGTCTTGCCCGACCAGTGATGATCCTGCTGGCAGATGCGCACAGACATGCCGATCAGACGAAAGCCGGCGTTGCACTGGTATACCATGCTTCCCCGGTAGTTATAGTTCTCCCCATTGATGTGTCCATTGACGATGGGCTCTGGAGTCCCACAGTGTCCAGCTTTGGTGGGAGATGGGGAAGAGAGTAAATCAAAGAGGGGCATATAGAAAATAAGGTGCAACTTGGTCAGCGTGGGGAGAGTCAGGGGATGTTGATGAAGACCACTGATGAGTCACCCATCACTTTTCCCACCTTCCCCTGTGAGTAGCAATCCAGAAGTGATTTCAGGAATCCTAGAAATGATAGAAATGGTGTTGAGGACTCGGCAACCCCAAATCCCAAGGCTGCCTCCCAAATGGTCATCTATTTCTAAGTTTTAGTTTCTGTGTCTGTACATGCTAGAAAACGGTCGCTGTTACCTCTCTGCCTCTGGGATCATCTCTTGCTTTTTCTCATCAACTAGAAGTTACTGATCACCTATTGCAGGGAGGGCACCAGCGTGTACATCAAGGCAGTCAAAGCCTGGTTGTTTTGAAAACCACCGTGTGAAAACAGATGGTTAGGTTAAATTCATCCTTTTTTCTCCTTGAGTGGCATCCAGGTGAGTTTTTATTAATAGGATTTGAGTAGAGTGTATTCCTGGCATTTCCACCAGCTTCCTTTGACTCTGTGTGGAAATGACCCATTACTATGTCCCTAACGGGCCCAGGACAGTGGGGAGAAGGCAGCACTATTCACCCTGGGACAGACCACTTATCCTGTTAGGTTTGTGTGGCTCAGAGCCTCTTATGGGCTTGAAGGATTCAAGAAAGGAGTGGGAGGAGAGAAAACCTTAGAATCTATGGCTCGGGCAAGGAGTGGGAGAAATGATAACTTTGTTCTTTGTAGGCAAGGTGAAGACTGGGATTCACCCATTATACAAAGACCAGTAAGAAGGGCTGTGTTTCTGATCAGAATGAGAGCCCCTTCTGATCATTCTTTGGGATCCTCCAAGAGAAGCTAGCTCAGGATTTTAGTCACACTAGATTCCTAATAGTTGGTGTTTGCATTAAGTATTTTGTATCGGTAGTTAAAATGATACTGTTCACAGATTGGATCCCAGCTTTGTAAAACTTGAGCCTATCCTGGGGAGAGAAAATGGGCTGATAGGTGGTGAGGTCACTTACCAAGGCAGCGCACTTCAGAGCCACTCCAGAGCCCATTGGCCATGCACTCCCGCACCCTGGAACCCACAAGTGTGTATCCGGAGTTGCAGGAGAAGATGGCTGTTGCTCCATAGACAGACAATGTTCCGATGCGGTGTCCATTGGGGGGTATGGGGAGCTCTCCACAGGAAATGACTATAAGGACCACAAAATGCTCAGTAAGCCAGTCCTAAGAGAACAGACATGTGCTGCTTCTGATTAGCAAGAATAATGACAAAAATAAGATCTGTTCAACTTTACTGGAACTCCTGACTAGAATATAGGTTGTGACACCTCAACTGGAGGGGTCTCCAGAAGCACTGGAAGAGTGTTTAAAATGCCTGGGCTCCACTGTAGAATCATGACTCACAATTTTTGAAGATAAGGCCCAAGCATGCGTATTAAAAAAAACAAAACAAAAAACAAAACTCCTCAGGTGGTTCAGTTGTGTGCTGTGGTTACAAAGAGATAGTGATTCTGTGGTATGCTCCTTAGTGCCCAGGACAGACACTGCAAATTGATTCAGGTTCCTTTTTTTTTTTTGCTGAGCCTAGTGGCAGTCTCCTACTCCTTCTCAACAGAGCACCGCTGAGAGCTTCTGGCTAATGTATGAGGTGAGGTCTAATCACTAAGCTGCGTGGAAATGTGAGTGGCTGTGTTATAGTGAGGCTGTCACACGCTTGTCACCAGCTCTGCCACACACATGGTGGTATATCTCCCTGTGGAGTCTGCACCACAGTGTGTACAAACAACAGGACATTGGATCATCGGTGTTAGAAGATACCACTCCTTCATCTACTCAGTCTTAAACTCCCATTTCTTATTGGTCAGCTATTTCCTTCTACCTCTTTATAGACACTTCCTTCCTCAATGATATCCTTATTGATTACATAAATATTATCAGTCTGTCCCTATTGTAATGGAGCCATGCTGAGCCGCTCAGAGCTCCTTTTAGGATTGAAAGACTTATTGCTCAAGCTGCTTGCAGACAACCCTTGGCTATTAGCCTTCTTCATATTGCCTTGGCTGAAGAAGAGTTTTCTCTCATGCTCCCTTTTGGACCAGCCTGCATCCAGTGACTGGTCACTGTGGAGGTATGAAGGCTCCTGTGCCCCAACTTGTGACAATTCAGAAGGGCCATCCCAGCTTCAGAGCTTCCTTGGGGGAGGAGAGGAGGGCGGGAGGAGGGAGGCTTTCCTTGATACTGCAGCAGAGCTCAGCTTTCTCTCTGCCAAGTCCTGCTTCCTTCCCTTTCCTTCCTTTCCCTTTTGCAGGTGGTGATCCCAAGAGCACTCCTTAATAAGCTTCTGTCTTAGAGTTGCTTCCCAGGGTCCCTGACCTTTGAAACTATATTAAAGAACCATAGAAAAACAATTAATGATGGAGAATGAAGGGTGGGTAGACTTAGGTGGCCTGTCCCGTGCTATCCCTCATTCTTCCTTTACACCCTCCCATTTCAGGTCTTGTCACACCACGCTATCATTGCTTCTTTATTTGTCTGCCTCTCCAGTAGGTGATAAACTCCTGTGGGGAGGAACTACAGTCTTTTATCTTCATAGCTCTATAGTATCTGGCATATAGTAGGGGCCTGATAGATGCTAAATAAATGAATTAGTAGATGCTTATCTGGACTAAGGCAGCTTTTTTTCTTTTTTTGAGTTGGAGTCTCACTCTGTCACCCAGACTGGAGTGCAGTGGCATGCTCCTGGCCACCACAGCCTCGACCTGCTGGGCTCTGGTGATCCTTCCGCCTCAGTCTTCCAAGTAGCCAGAACTACAGGTGTGCGCTACCACGCCCAGCTAACTTTTGATATATTGTAGAGACGAGGTCTCGCCAAGTTGCCTGGGTGGGTCTTGAGCCTGTGGGCTCAGGCAATCCACTTGCCTCAGCCTCCCAAAGTGCTGGGATTACAGGCTGAGCCATTGAGCCCGGCCAAGGCAGCTTTTAATAAGATGACGACATGCTAAGAAGTACTTCCTTAAAGGAGTAGGCATTTTTCCAGCTCCTCATTATATGTGAATGTCAAAAAAGTAGTACACTGCAATCCCTGGTGATACTCCCCTCCCCCCTTCCCAGTTCACCCCATGCATGAGATATTTCAAGTAGGAGAAGGCACTCTGCCAAAGTTGCCCACCCTCCCCTCCTGAACTTACTTTGGCAGGTGGGCATAGAGTCCCCAAGGCTCCATTTGCCATTGGCCTGACAGCGGATGACCCTTTGGCCGGTATAGTAGTAGCCGGGGTCACAGATGAGCATCAGCTGGGCCTGGAACTGGTACTGTGTCTCGAAGATGAGCCTCCAGCGGCCATGCTCCACACTGATGCTGCTGACATCAGGACAGGTCACAGCTGGGGAAACAAGGAGCAGGGAACGGGTTAATTAATTAATTGTGGAAGACATTGCAAGAGTCCACGTTTGGGGACTTGTAGACCTTAATGCAGTAATGATGAATTCCAGAATCTTCAGTCCCCAGGCAGGTTTGATAAGTGAATGAAGGTGGGGGATGTGGCAAACTGGGGCTTACAGATCAAATATATAAATGAAAATGAAAAATAAATGAAAGAAGAGAAGTGGTACTCAGTCAGTGTTGATTGTTGGATGTGAGACTGCAAGTTCCATTTGGTCAGTTCTTTACTTTTCAAGAGAAGCCAGAAATCTGGATTTTAACATAAAATTTCCTGATTTAAGAACGTTTTAAAGCAATTCAAAATTTGTTTTAAAGTATAGTGTAGGCCAAACAAAAGTAAACAAAACTCTCTTATCTTTGGACTGGATGTTGCAGGCTGACAGTTTGTGACTGGCCTACAAGTTGTCATTTTAGAGGTTTATGATGAAGGGACACATTCATGTAAACTTTCTGACAGTTTCTCCACCTAAAAGGGTGTGGACCAGGCCATTTCTAGGTTGCATGGTGGCTTGTGGGAATATCTCATGTAACAGTGGTCTATCAATGCTTTGAGAGCAATTTTAGCACTTGTTTCCTCTCCCTGAATCCCCCAACCTCCACACCCATATTTTCTCCCTCATTTCTGTGCTTTTAACTTACTTCTTAGATGAATCTTTCTAGCTATCACCCCAACCCTTCCTTATACCCGCCTCCACTGCCCGAGGACTCACGGACACACTGTGGGGGGACGTTGTGGTTGTTCCACAGGCCTGTATCCAGGCACTCTGCAGTGGCCTCGGTGCCTGTCTGGAGGTGGTAGCCTTCGCTGCAGCTGTACACAGCCTTGGTTCCCACTGTGTACTCCTTGCCAAACACCATCCCATTCTTGGGGGCCTCTGGAAGCCCACAGGAAAGAGCTAGCAAAGGAAAACACATGCCGTGAGCATTTTTGATTTAGGATGGTATTCTAGGAACATATTTTTATGTTTCCTTTCTTCCCAAGGTTCTAAAAAAGTTATAGTAAAAAATAGTAAAAAGGAAAGACCTCATAATAAAAAAGAAGATCGGAGGATCTTCAGCAGAGATTTTTTTTTTTTGAGTTGGAGTCTCACTCTGTCGCCCAGACTGGAGTGCAGTGGCCGCTGCCGGCCACTGCAGCCTCGACCTGCTGGGCTCCGGCGATCCTTCTGCCTCAGCCTTCCAAGTAGCTGCAACTACAGGCGCGCGCTACCACGCCCGGTTAATTTTTGATTTATTGTAGAGATGAGGTCTCGCCAAGTTGCCCAGGCAGGTCTCGATTTTTATAAAAGTCTGGAGAAAGGAATGAAAATCAAAGTATGCTGATGGATTAAATGGAGAAAAGCAGCCATAGCCCAAGACGCATGAGAGGGAGACTCGGGGTGAGACCAACTCTCTTCATCCCTTCCCACAAGCACAGTGTAGAGGCATGCATGCACCTAGTCTCCAAAAAAAATAGGGAGGACTTCTTAAGGCGAACTCCCTTGACAGAATTAGGGCTGCTATGGTGGGGTTCTCATCTCACAAATGAGGAAAGCTCATTTAATTTTAAGACTTGAGGGCTCTTGACCTTAAGGCTGCCACTTTGCCTGCTCATCTCTGCCACACACTCACCTCAACTTCTCATTCATCAGGGAGACCTAGTGGGCTGAGATGTCTGTATCTAATAACAATAAAGATAACCCACATCTGATCCCTGGAAAAATCAACTAGCCTTTACTTTAAAAATATGAACAATCAGGGATAGTTATACATACGAAGAAAATCAGCAGTGTGAATGAGATAAACCAAGATAAGGTGTTTTTAAAAGTCCCTTTAGGAAACAGAGCTAATCAGGAAATAGCAGATATATAATTTTCAAACTTCTGATTAGTTTGAAGATTATATATCTGCTATTTCCTGACACATGGTACTCATAAAATGAGAAGAGTGTGCTTTGAAAAAAGAACAACTAAAAGGGAACAAGGAAGAGCTCTTTGAAATGAAAAAATATGATTGCCAAAATAAGCTTTAAATATAAGGCTTGGAGATTAAAAGTAAAGGAAATTTCCCAGAATATAGACCAAAAAGATAGAGATTGAAAATGAGAGAAAAAGATGATAACTCGGAAGATCAAGTCAGGAGGTCTAGAATCCAACTGTTCAGAGCTCCAGAAAGAGAGAACAGATGGAGTAGATGGGATGGAATTATTATAGATGAAAATTTCTCAGCGCTGAAGAGCAACACAGTCTTCAGATGCAAAGGGAGCCAACAGGATGCATTGAGAACCACTCTTAGATACACCATCATGGAATTTCAGAAGCCCAAAGACACACAGGCATTTCTACAAGTTCCTGCAGTGAGAGCAATTGTGAGATAACTGTGAAGGAATCAGACTGGCATCATACTTCCTGTCAGAAATACCCGTGTTTGAAGATAATGGAACAAAGCCTTTAGACTTCTGAAGGAAATGATTTGTAACCTAGAATTTTACCTAGTCAACCGACCAGGTTTGAGGGCAAAAATAAAGACATTTTCAGACATTTAAAGACTCAGAAAATTTACCTCTGACGAACCCTTTCTGAGAAATTTACTTAGGCTATGTTCCATCAAAAAGAGGGTGAAATAAAGAAAGGGCAAGATATGGGATATAAAAAATGACAGAAGTAACTCAGGAGTACAAAGGAAAGGAATCTGAAGGTGACAGCTCAGGAGAGAAATGTGTGCAGCAACATGGTCCAGGCTATTATTTAAGGAGTAGGGTCAACATTATGTTTATAGGAGGAACAGACATTACTTAGGTAAGAGTAATTTGTCTGGCCCTTGAAAGAAAACAATACTTACAAACCACACTTGCCATTTGATAGTTTAGGAGCTATTATAGATGGAGACATTAATCAGAGTCAAAGTACCCACCACTGCCCCTCATCCACCACCTGCTCCTGCAACTAGTCTAGAGCTCATACTTCCTTCACTCAGAGCCAGAGTAAGCTTGAGCAAAGTCCCATCAGTATGCTCTAACAATGATGCCTGACGTTCCTAGAATTTCCAGAACCAAGAGGAGTCATTGTGATAGGGCTCCTTAAGATATGGAGAAGTGTTGACTGTTCAGAGGGAGAGAGGATGGAATACTAAGATGGAAGAAGGATTCAAAGACTGAATGTGGACCAAAGACAAGGATCAGGAACACAGAAATAACTTGGAAATAAGGTAGCATTTGAGCTCCTTTAGTGGTTCTAGGATAGCCAAACTGTCATATTAGAGCAACTAACTGCCTGGTTTTCTTTAGCCCTTTGGGAAGAAATATTTAGGTTCCCATTGACATTTTGCAAGGAGAGTCAACCCAGGAAAAGCCAGTGAAGGAAGTGGACAGCAGCTGCATCTCACTAGCCCTGGCCTGGCCCTGTTTCTAAGAAGACAGATGAAGATAACTTCCCAGCCTGAGAGACCAAAAGCTTATGTCTCATGATCTCCATGCTGAAATACAGTCCCCCAAACCCAGAGGTTAGACTGATACTTCCCATGGGTAGGAGAAGAGGGGATATAATCACAAAGTGTTTGGGGCTTGTAGTGGAATGAGATCACTGAGGGAGAAACTTGTAGGGTGAGAGGATGGTCTGAGGGAAGGAGAGAGAAGGCATCAAGAGGCATAGAATTGAATCTCTAAAGCAGCAGTGGGGAAGTCATGTTTTGGAAGCAGTGGTAGGGAACTGGAAAAATGCCAGGTTGTTCCTGACCCCGAGTTATGTGGGAAGTGGGTGCTGGGTGGAAGGGGACTAACACCCTCCACTTGAAAGGACCACAGTAGGATGCTCTCAGAGCAGAGTCACAGTCTCCATGGAGGCAGGAAGTGAAGACAGCCTCTGGGTAGTGACTGAGGGTGTATGCTTGCCAGTGGAATGGGGCAAAGACATGCAGAGCAGCATGGGGATGAATGGGCTGAAGCCTGTAGGGGCTTAATTTGGGGTGGGATTGTAAGATAACAAGATGAAAGACCCAGTAGGTTTCAAAATCAGAGTTCTGGAAAAAAGACTTGTCCATGGTGGTGCAGTTAGAGACACAGAGACTGAAGCCAAATGACATTTGCCATTAGTGGACAGTCAGTTCTCTGTGACCTTTGCTTAGGGCTTAGAGATTATTAATAACACATTGTTTTTATTCTTTGAGAAAGTGCAGGCACAGGCGAGAAGGCTGTGAGGATTAGATATAATAGATGTCATTAAAAAGTACTTCACCACACTGGAAACCAAAAAAATAAAACCAAACAGCAATGTGGTTTCCTGTCTTTGTCTATGTAATTGGTAAAGTTTTCTTCTCTTTTTTTAATGCAGTACATAATGTTGAGACTGTGGGAGAAACAGTTCCCAGATGTTGCTGGTAGAAGTATAAATAAAGTCACATTTTCTGGGGGTGCAATAACTATCAAAGCTATACATTTTGCATATGTTATGATTCCACAATCTCATTTCTGAGATGGTGGCTCAGTCTGTAATCTCGCGCCTTTGGGAGGCTGAGGTGAGTGGATTGCCTGAGCCCGCGGGTTCGAGACCCACCTGGGCAGCGAGACCTCATCTCTACAATAAATCAAAAAATCAGCCGGGCGTGGTAGCGCACGCCTGTAATTCCGGCTACTCGGAAGGCTGAGGCGGAAGGATCGCCGGAGCCCAGCAGGTCGAGGCTGCGGTGGCCGGGAGCGGCCACTGCACTCCAGTCTGGGCGACAGAGTGAGACTCCAACTCAAAAAAAAGAAAAAAATATGAAATGTTCAGAAAGATGGAAATATACGTTAATAGTAGTAAAAATACAGAAATACAAATAACTAACAATAAAATTGATACTTGAATAAATGAGTTTTCCCATAATGCCATGCAACCACTGAAATAATAACAAGGAATTATATTTAATTATATGAAAGATGTCAGCAAAACACTAAGAGCTTGTACACTGATGATCCTGCTTTTGTAATCAGTATATAAAAGGTTCCCACAGTTGGCTGAAATGATAACAGCTGTGATCTCGGGTGATAGGATTATAGGTCATTTTCACCTTTTCTTTTGTATTATTTATAGTTCTTTTTTTCCTCTAGATTTCTAGTCTGAATGTACATTACTTTAAGGAAAAAGGAAACCTCGTGAAGTAGAATAGGTAATGCACAGAAACTGACTGGTGCATTTCAAATGTTTAGTCAACAGACTTGCTCCGTGAACCCAAACACCCCTCTGCTGGGAGCCCCCCCAGGTGGCCAGGAGGAGGCAGGTTCCTTCTTACCTCTGAGCTTCCACACACTGTTTATACTCTTGATACACTTCCTTCCTCTGTCACTTTGCATTTCAGGTGCTCACATACCCATCTTCCCTATGGCTCTCAAAACACCAAAGCTGCTATGTACATGTAATTCCCTGGCTTGAGATATTATAGATCCTCAAGAAATGTTTGCTAAATGAATGGATTAATTATCAAAGAGGAAACTCCCATTTGGCAATGACTGGTCTTGGGACAAATCCAAGATGTGAGCTGGATCTGAGATACCCAGTGACCCCCTTTTCAGCTGCTTCTTACCTTGACAGAGAGGAATGGCCTCGCTCCACAGGTGGTAGCCCTGGGGATGCCGGGTACAAATGGCCATGCTGTGTCCCACCAAGCGGTAGCCTGCGTTGCAGCCAAAGTGGATGGAGCCACCGGGCTGGGTGCTAGTCTGGCCCAGGATGAAGCCATGGAGTGGAGCCCTGGGCAGGCTGCAGTAAGGGGCTGAACAATAAGAGGAGGCTCAGGGAACCAGTGTGAGGAGGAAGACGGACATGGTCTTTCACGCAGGCTTTCTCCCCCTTTTTCTCCCCCCGTTTCCTTGTCTTGGCCCCTGCCAAGTCCTCTGCTACTTGGGAAGGTCTGAGTGGTAGATATTGAAGAACAGCCAGTCAGTTTAGTGAAGCCAAAACAAAACAAAGGGGAAGAAAAAACCAAACACACATAAAAAGTCCCCACAAAAAAACTTAACTCCATGAAGCACCAGTCCTTTTGTGGTCTGAAGGCAGTGCTGGATGTATGACTAGAATCAAGCTTTCAGATCCCTTTAGCTCTCAAGTAGATTTAGAAAGTAGAACCCACTGAAATGGGCCTGGAAAGGTGTGCCTACAGGGGTGTGAACTCTGAAGTCAGTCAGGTCTGGGTTCAAGTCCCATTTCTGACCTAACTAGCTCTGTGACTTGGGACAAATCACTGAAGCTCCTTCAGCTCCAGCTTCCTCGCCTGTAAATTGGGACTGGTAACACGTATCTCATAAGTTCATGGACAATTTAAATGAGACCACATATATAAAGCCCCCAGCATAGCCCAGGGCACTTAGTGCTCAATAAATGTTTTTTCTCTTTCTTTCTGTTGTGTAGGGGAATGAGCCAAGATGAATCTGTGACAATCCAGGACATAAATTTCCCTATAGGGCTAATTTCCCCTCCTCACATGGCTCCAATTTATTTCATTCACTTATTCAACAAACAGATATCGAGTGTCTATTATGTGTCAGGTGTTGTTCTCAGTGCTGGCTATATAACAAGGAAGAAAACAGACAAAAATCCCAGCCCGAGAGAACTCACATTACAAACCTTGCTGGGATCTGTTGGGGGAGTTCTGTGAGGCGGGAAAGAGAGACGACCAAAGGACCACACAGAACATGCCCTTCGTTTGCCCTAGGAGTCCCTGGTGGGCTTTCCCAGGAAGACATGGATAAGGCAGGATTAGGATGTAGGGCCCTTACATCCACCCCACAGTGAGGTTCTCTGGCCTCTTACTTCACACCCCTCTGTTGGTGAAATTGCTGTTTTAAGTAGCTCCCTTCTAAGCCAGATATGCTTCCCCACTCCTACTTTGCCCCATGTCCTATGTATATTGTCTGTACATGGCTATCTTACTCAGGAACAAGAATCTCAAAGAATATACTTAGTTACAGTGATAGACACAGGTATAAATTATACGAGTCTACTGTATCTGAATTATTAAGCACTAATTAATTAGTGTACCATGTAATTAATTCACTTTCTACAAGCCATATGTATTGTAATTATAACTGACTCATTATCCCCAAACATGTTGGGCTTTAGAACATCAAGGAAAGGGTAACTCCTTAATAGCTTTCAGTTCCAAAATTAGCAGCCAGCATCGTGAAATGCTGCTCAACTGCTGTATTTCCTTTTTGCATGAGCAGCTTCCAGGAACTGAGCCTGAGTCACTCCTAACAGGTACCTTAAGGTTTCTTTTTCTTCATGAGGGAACTGAGGCCTGAAGTGGTTAAGTGCCTAGTCTAGCAATCCTAGAATCTGTTAGTGCCAGAGCTGGTCAATGACCCTGGGAACCTGAAGCCACTCCCCCCCACCCCTCTTCTGTGTGCACCAGGGAAGGAAGAGGTTGGGTGGACTTTGCAGAGGATAGAGACTCTGAGACAGTAAAGATCCACCTCCTTGCAGGCTCCTCTCAGCTTCCTCTGGATAACACTCCCCTGGAAGCCACACCCAAGGGTTCTTTAAGACTGTTCACATGGGCCCTTGAAGTTTGGGCTGGTCTTGCAAGTAGGAGACCCATGAGAAGCGATGGACCGAGACAAGTGGCAGTTTTAACTTGACATCCCTTCTAACCGATATTTTAAAGAAATGTGTCCAACATTTGTCTGGAATGTAGGTCAAATGCAGCCAGGGGAAAAAGTGTTCAAAGGGAACTGGTGCATGGTGAAACCCCCCATGGTTTTAAGTAATTCATTTCGCCTCCAAGCTTGCAGTGTCCAGTCGGCAGTTCACTGAACCCACCTCCCTTCAAAGTGGGCATCAAGCAGCTTATGAAGCTTTCTTCCAACCACAGCCAGATGAGAGTTCAGAAGAATTCAATTTTCTTCATCTCATTATATTCCCAGGGACATTTTTGTGCTCCTTATGGACTGTAGCCCAGGTCAGCCTTCTGGCTGGCCTTGCTTTTGATCTGACTCTGCCTATAAGACATGGCTTGCAGAGCAGAAGAAAGGCTCCTAGCCTTGAAATATGGCCCATCCTTTGCTGCTTGTCTAACAGTTGCCAGCTAGAGACCCATGTCTTAGGGCTTTTTAGTTTTAGTAACCTTTTATTAATGTTTCTGAAATTTCCTAAGGGGGCAGAATCACCTTTAGGCAGTATCAGATTATATATAATATAAATACATTGACTGACTATATGAGAAGAAGAGAAGAAAGGCTGAAAACGGGGAAAGGCATCAAAAGAAGAGGTGGGAACTGCCAAGAATTCTTGAAGAGCTGTGGGAGAGGTAGATTTAGAGGAAGAGAACAGCTGCCCAGTCCCCACAGAGGAGCTCGCCGCCTTGAAGGGGAGAGAGGCCATAGCTTATTTGGGTGCTTCAGATGAGCAACTTAAGGGGCTCATGGGCTGTGGCCCTCTCACGAATCCTTATGTTTTACTCACCTGAGTACCGAATCTTAAAGCCTTTCCGATTGTAGGCATGATCAGATGACCAGCGAAGGTACACAGAATTACTTGAGCTGGTGACAATCAGGGGAGCTGAGTAATTCCCACTGAGGGCTTTCAGCAGTGGACTTTGTCCTGAGGGACCTGGGTGAGAAGGACACAGGATTAGAGATCATCTGTGCTACTGCAGGCAGTGCCAGGTGAAGATGCTGGGGCTCAGATGGTTGGGTAGCTTGTTTAGAGTTGCCAAAATCATTCATACTTGTGCTGCTCTCTGCATCCCCGGGCACTGCACTCTAAGTCCAGTTGTAAAGCAATGTTCTAGGAAGCCCCTGCCTCCCTACAGGAGTTGGCAGATGGGATGAAATCTATTTTCACTGTGGGACTTGACCAAGGTCAAGTAGCTGTTTAATGGAAGAGCTAGTTTTCAAACTGGGGCCTTCTTCCACTTGGCTACCCTACTCCTCTTGTGTGAACTAAAAGCAGCTCAGTGCCTGCTAAGAAGAAAATATATTTACTGAATGACTATATAGTAATAAAGCTAGAGGAAAACGTCATGTCTCAGGGTCATAAGTAACAGAGCTTCACAATGTTGCGTTTCAAGGCTCTTAGAGAAAGACCTCCCTCTTCCTTTTTCCTACCTTAAATGCCTGGGCTTGCATCCTAGGGGGCTGGTTGAAGGGAGGCAGAAAATAAAGCTGGATAATCCGTAACACAGGATTTATTGCCCTGGAAAAGCCCATGAATGATGGCTCTAATATGCTGCTGAGATAGTTCTTTGAAGCTTGGGAAAGGTAATGGACCATATTAAACAAGGTAGAGCCGTCAGAATTGCTGTGGCAAACTACGAAGGAGGGAATCAAAAGGTTCAGAGAAGTAGCATGCTAGAATAGGTCTGCCCTATAAAAGCAGAACACCCACCAGCTGACCATATGTCTCAGGAGGAACTGGGACACTCCCCTGACTAAAGCAATCAGGAGGTGAGGGGCTGGGGGAGGTGAGCACCAGCATTACTGAAAACTGAGTAATGGCTGTCTTCTGTAGTCCGAAACAAATGAGAGGAGATGTCATCACAGAACTGGGCTCCCTAGTGGTAATGAGAAGATCCTAGAATACAGAGGCCAGATGGGAGAACTGAGTAGTCAGAAGCAAGGTTGGCATAATTACTAAAATGGGCAGCAAGGTTGATATAATGGGCAGAAAGAGTGATATTTACACTTAATTTTATCTGAGAATCATTTATTCATTAATTTATTCAAAGTAAAAAATGTTCTCTCTCCCTCTCTCTGTGTGTATACAGATTTTAATATCAGGGTTATTCTAGATTCATACCACCTGCACCCAGCTTGGAACACATCTTAGACAACCTACAACAGTGACAGGATGGCAGCTGGGAGGGCCTGACCTACAGGATCTATGGAGATGGCTCATAGAACATGGTATTCCTAAGGGCAAGATAGATGGGTGGCCAAAAAGAGCAGCCCCCCAACGTATGAATATATGAAGAGAACAGATATGAGTAGATAAACGGAGGGTTAAGACAGCTACCCCCAGTGGAAAGTCACAATCCCTTGCCCAGTTTGCAGACCCGAGCCAGGCTTCATTTCCATTCCAGAACACTTTTGGTGACTAAGAAAAAAAAACCCTGCAAAATGACACTAATTGGATAATTTGATATAGTAGTGATTCTCCAGTTCTGCCCCCCAAAAGACCAACCATGATTTACTCATATAACCGAATATTATAGAAAAGGAAATATCCTGATATGCCAAAGACTTCTGGATAAGGGTGTGAATTGATGCTGCTGTCTGGGGATCTAAAACACTACCATGGCTACTGTGTTAGAGGAGGGGTATGTGAGGGTTGGGGTTGGTAATAAAAGGAACCCTGGTCCGGGTCCATCCCACAGTATAATCTTAACCAAGTAGGAGCCTCAACTGTAGCAGCTGTGCCAGATACACATGTTTCTTACAGCAGACTGACATGGTCTTGGTCATGTGGAATACTGTTGACCTGGCAGTGCATTCTTTTCCATACCCACCAGGGAGGAGGATCAGAAGCAGTTTGCATTCACATGAGGTAGACAAGAGTGAGCATCCACGGTTTTGCCCCAGAGTTACGTTAATGCTCCTGCTGTCTGTCATCATATAGTGTGAAGGGCTGTGGACCATCTGGACATCCTGCAGAATATAGCCCAGTGGTTCACTATATTGAGGGCAGCATATTAATTAGATCTGATGACTGAGAAGGGACAATTAGTGTAGATGCCTTTGCAAGACACACATGCTTCTGAGGGTAAGAGATAAATCCTCCAAAGTTTGAAGCAAAATAATATATGTAAAGCATGCAACATAGTGGCTCAATAAAATGTAGAGATAGTCTCAGAGCTTGGCTGTGGCCTAATTAGCAGCATTAACAAATTTAATGAAAAAAATGTCACCCTAAGGAGAACAATGAGTGTGGAACTTAGAAAAGGAGGAGCAGGAGTGAGTTTTTGTCCTCTCCATGAAGAGGAGGGAAGATACTGGCACAGAGAGGCCATTTGCAGGCACTGGGGAGGTGCTCTGTTATGGTCTGGAGCATGTGGAATCATTTACTCCAAATTAAAGAGGATATGATCTCACCTTTTCCCTCCTAATACCAAAGCAGAAGCACAATTTTTGGAGACCTTCCTGAGTTTTGGGGGTAGCACACTCTTCACTTGGAAATACTAAGTACTATGACTCATTAATTGGCTGATATTCAAGAGTGATAGCTTTGAGTGGGAGATAGAGTAAGAAAGGTTCTGTAATAGGTTCAAGCTGCAGTAAGTAGTCCTGTGCTTGGGCCATATAACCCATCAGATTCCATGGTCTTGGGGTTTCTGTGGTAGAGAAAGACATCACGTGGAGCTTCTGGCAAGCCCTAACAGTAAAACGGCAGCACAGACTCCTAGGTTTCTGGAGCAAGTCCACACCATATCCTGCAGAGAACTATAAGGACTGTACGGCATTAAGCAGACTTACCATCAAAGATCTCAAATTCATCATACTGCTTCTCGCTGAGGAAGTACTCCACTGTGAGTGTGATGTTATATTCAGGTTCCACTCTCACCAGCCAAGAGCAGGTCTGGAACTGGGGATAGCTTCCAGGGTAGCTCTGACTCAGGATCACTCCCGTGGAGTCTGTCAGAAGTTCATTCGTTGGGCAGTGCACTTGGAGAAAGAAAGAGATATGCCAGGTAAATGGGGTTGAGATGGAACTAGGGCCAGCACATTTACTTTGCTCAGTACAAAAGACAATCATCAGGCAGTTAGTATTTAAGGACATTCACATAAGGCCACATGCCCATCACTGTACTGTTCCATGACATGAGGTAGGCTCAGATCCTGTGTCAGAGTCACAGTATTGCTGGGACTCAGGCCTGGCCAGTTGGCTGGAGTTATTCCTAGCTCAGTCGTGGGCTCTACTACCTGGCTTTGAGGCAGGTGGTGGGGCTAGTACATACCGCTAGACAACAATTAGGCATCCCCAAATCCAAAAGAGATCATCTATAAAATGGGTTTGATTTGTGTAAAGATAGTACTCAATAGGGCAGAGGTAAGCACATAGGACTTTGAGTCACACGCACCAGGATTTACAGGTAGCACCAACCTTACAGGGCTCTTGTGTTGTATAAAATATCTTATATGAAATAATATATGTACTGGCTTGCAACATAGTGCCTCAATAAAATGTAAAGATAGTGATGATAAGTGCATCTTGAACAGAAAGAGTCTCAGAGCATGGCTGTGGCCTAATTAGTAGTATTAACAAATCTAAAGAAAAAAAAGTCACCCTAAGGAGGACAATGAATGTGGAACTTAGAAACGGAGGAGCAGGAATGGGTTTTCTGTCCTCGCCATGAAGGGGAGGGAAGATGTTGGCACAGAGAGGCCATTCACAGGTACCGGGGAGGTGCTCTGTCCTGGGGTGCAGGGAAGCATCACAACAGTCTCACAAAACAAATCTCAAGACAATCCACCTTCATTTGCTTGGGTTGGGGACCCCAAAGCATAGTTCTGGGGATTAAACCAACTTCTTCAATACCTTAAAAAGGTTTGTCATTGACAGTAGTTGCATATTTCGGTCACTGCAAATGGAGAAATTGGTACTTTGTGGTAGATGTGCCTTTAAATGAGCTTCCTGAGTGTGCTGAGTCTGGGTCACTGGGAAGAGGGAGCATTTGGGACTACAAGGCCAAGGACGAATCCCTGGATCATAGTCTCAGGTAATGCTGTTCTAGGTACGAGTCCATGCCACTGGCGCTCCACCCCTCTCACCTATTTCCTGCAACCCTAGCCTTCACAGAAGTGGGGCTTGCTAGCCAGTAACGGTCTGAGCTCCTAGACAGAGGCTTGCTGTGGCCTAGAATTTTACAGGATTCATCGGGCTTCCTTCCTAGTAGCTGTGAAAGGCACTCACTGTCTTTTCTCAGTAAAACTTACTTTTTATTTTGTAAGAGGAAAAAGAGTAAATTTCTTCTAGGGAAAACCCGCCTGGTCTTTGAAATGCTCCTGATTTCACTAACCTGATGACCTGGTCACTGAGACGTGTTGCTAAATTTAAGTTCCCTTAGGCCTCATGGTCCACTCCTGCCTCTACCAGATCTGCTCCCCAAGATCTTTACCTTTCTACTTGAAACTGCCTCTATTGAGGGAAAACAATCATATACTCTCAAATGAGATTAGTTTGTAGATTTTCCTTTTTCTGGGCAACTTTATCAGATTTGGGCATTTGTGTTTACAAGTTTCTTTTTTTTCCAATGCTCAAAATTGGCCTTTGAAGGTTTATTAGTATCCTATAAGACCATCTAGTCTTGGTATCTTTGGTGGGGTCATGTGCTGCATGACATTTCGGTCAATGATGGACTCACATAGGATGGTCTTTCCAAAGGTTATAATAGAGTTGCTGCCTAGTACCTAGTGTTGTAGTAGCTGTTGTAACATTGTAACACAACAAATTACTCACGCCTCTGTGGTGATGTTGGTGTAAAGGCACCTACCTTGCTGCTATTGTATACAATATAGCACATGCAATTATGTACAGTACATAATACTTGATGATAACAAATGACTATGTTACTGGTTAATGTATTTACTATGCTATACTTTTTATTATTTATTTTAAAGTGTACTTCCTCTACTTATGTTTTTTAAGTTAATTGTAAAACAGCCTCTGGCAGATTCTTCAGGAGCTATTCCAGAAGAAGATGTTATTATCCTAGGAAATGACAGCTCCAGGTATATTATTGGCCCTGAAGACCTTCCAGTGGGACAAGATGTGGAGGTGAAAGACAGTGATATTGATGATCCTGACCCTGTGTAGGTCTAGTGCTGCATTTTTACCAGAAAAGTTTACAAAGTAAAAAATAAATTAAAAAAATTTCAAAATAGAAAAAAGCTTATAGAATAAGAATATAAAGAAAGAAGATATTTTTGTACAGTTGTACAATATGTTTGTACTTTAAGCTAAGTGTTATTACAAAAGAGTCAGAATTAAAAAATCAATAAGTTCATAAAACAAAAATGTTAAAGTAAGCTAATGTTAGTTTATTATTGAAGAAAGAAAAAATTTAAGATTCATTTGGTGTGCAGTGCTTATAAAGTCTACAGTAGTATACAGTGATGTCCTGGCCTTCACATTCACTCACTGATTCACCCAGAGCAACTTCCAGCCCTACAAGCTCCATTCATGGTAAGTGCCCTGAACAGATGTACCACTTTTAATTTTTATTTATTTATTTATTTTTTTGAGTTGGAGTCTCACTCTTTCACCCAGGCTGGAGTGCAGTGGCCACTCCCGGCCACTGCAGCCTCAAACTGCTGGGCTCTGGCGATCCTTCCGCCTCAGCCTTTCAAGTAGCCAGAATTACAGGCATGTGCTACCATGACCAGCTGATTTTTTGATTTATTGTAGAGATGAGGTCTCGCTGCCCAGGTGGGTCTCGAACCCGCGGGCTCAAGCAATCTACTCACCTCAGCCTCCCAAAGGCGCGAGATTACAGGCTGAGCCACCGAGCCCGGCTCCATTTTTTATTTTTTATACCATATTCTTAACATACCTTTTCAATGTTTAGATACGTGTAGATACCCAAATACTTACAATTGCCTACAGTATTCAGTACAGCAACATGCTGTACACATTTGAAGCCTAGGAGCAATAGGCCACACCAATAGCCTAGGTGTGTAGTGGGCTTTGCCATTCAGGTCTGTGTAAGCACACTCTATCATATTCATACAAGTACAAAATTGCTTAACAACACATTTCTCAGAACATATGTGGTTAAGTGATGCATAATTGTACTAAAAAGTATTGAAATGTACACTTTAAGAGGGTAAATTGCATGTATGTGACTTACATCTCAGTAAAGCTCCTAATACACAAATGACTATGAAAGTTTACATCTGAAGAAGGCAAGAATGACACCAAGTCCCAGAGGAAAGCACAAGACTGAGAATGGGGAGAAAAGCCATGAAGATGGGGCCATGGAGTTCCAGAAACAGTGCCAGAAACAGACTGGAACAAAGCAAGTTGGTTCTGCAGCAGAATGAAGGCTAAAGTTCACTGTTTCTGGGGGCTGGTTGTTTGGCACGAGGCTGGGTCAGTTCAGTTGAAATAAGCAGATACTGAATTTCTCAGTGCATCGGGCAGCTGGTTCAGTGGTTTGTGGTTGGCTCCTCTCTTTCTCAGTAACAATCCACATTGTAGATTCCTTTTACTCTCACTTTCTGAGGGAATGGGGAAAGGTTTTTCCCAAAGGCTACTGAATATTAGTTGGTAGCAATAGTACTGGAAGCAGTCGTACTAGTGATAATATTAACAGCTAACTTGGAGCAGTTACTATACGCCAGGCACAGTTCTAAGTTGCTTTGCATTACTGGCCAGTTTAATTCCTAACAATGACCCCATGGCATAAGAACGATCATTATCTTCATTTTACAGAAGAGAAGATTGAGGCATGGGACAATCAGATAGCTTGCCCTCAGCCAGATGCCTAGTGAGTGGGGAATGTTGTTTCTGATCTTAGTTGGGAGAACTAGGCGAAGTGAATTCATCTTCTGTCAAGGCACTGCACTAGCTGAGCAGAAGGGACCTTGAAGCATTTAGACTCCAGTAGGGCAGGGTTGGTGTGTGAGCCCACCCCTTCCTGAGGTCCTGGTCAGTGATGTCCTCCTTCCAGTGCTCAGTTTGCAATTCTAAGGAGTGCCCAGGTAAGGAAAAAGAAAGACAGAAGTAAACGTGGCCACTGTGGCCAATTCACAGCCCTAGGCCTCAGAACAGGGCAGAGAACCCATCTAGAATAATCTATTTTTCATTCCTCATTCCCTCATTAATTCATCAGACAATATTCAACAAGTGACCTTTCACCTTATGGGCCAACAACCGAGTAAGAATTGGAAATGGAAAGAGGAACAAAACAGGGCTTTGTTCTGGAAGAACGTCTAGGCCTGGTAAAGATGCGGCTCCATGCAATTACCTTCACATATTGGGGGTGGGCCTTCAAACTGCAGGTAAGTTCCAAGTTTGCAGGTCAGGATTTCATTCCCCACTAAGGTAAAGCCAGGGAGGCATCTGTAGCGTACAATGTCACCTGTCAAAGAGACACCAACATGGGAACTTTTTGGAGAAGTCCAGACAGGGCTGATGGGCAGCCTTTGGTACCTTTAACCCACTTCCGGGTAAGATAATCAGTGGCAGGTCATATTCTGTTGAGATTTAAATAACTAGCTGAGTTTCGTCCCAATTGGCCCAGGGAACTTTTCTCTTTCACAGGGTCTCAGGCTTTGCCTGAGTCTACGAATATTTCACATTTCAGGAAACTTTAGAATGTCTTGCATGGACTTATTTCTCAAAAACATGCTGACTTGAATCACAGAAGGGAAGTATTTTCCTGGCTTCTCTTTCTAGATGTGGCTAAAAGGAAGAGTGATTGTATTTTGGGTGCAAACTCAGCTGTCAGAATCTCAATCCTCTGGTATGAGGTCTCCTGTTTTTCTTTCCCTGGACAGGAGGACAAGATGAGCCCCTCTGGCCTGACAGCCTCACCTCCACCTGGCCCCTCCCACCCAACCTTGGGCTTTCAGTACTTGGAGGCTTGGGAGGTGGTACCTATGTTGAATTCTTCATTCTCTGTGACAACTTCGGCATTGGGGAGGATGGTGGGAGGAGGGCACTTGGTGAGTGGAGAAGCTGAAAAGATAAAAACAGACAAGTCAGGGTAGAATCACCATTCTCAGAGCACAGAGATTCGTTTGTTCAATCTTTCACTTTCTCACAACAGATATTCACACGAATTTATCTGTACCTAGGACAAGTTTAGCCAAGCCCTATTTTGCTTATCTCCTGTTACCCTTATTTAAATGAATAATAAAGAAATAATTACTAAAGGAACAGAATACAGGTCATGCAAAATGTTAAGCACGCAAAATAGGAAGGCTTGTTAAAACACTGATTCTTGGCCTCACCTTCAGAGGTTCTGATTCGGTGATTCTTGGGTGGGACCTGAGATTCTGCATTACTAATAAGTGTTAAATAAAATATATTGGAGGACACTGGTTTGAACTGAGCTCCTGCACTAAGCCCAACAGAACAAAAAATGGAGTCAGTCATGCTAAAGTGTCAGGCCACCAAGTGGAAACTAAATTATGCAAACTGAAAAAAATCAAGAGCAAGAGAGCGAGGAGAGGTGTGAGAGAGAGAGAGAGAGAGAGAGAGAGAGAGAGAGAGAGAGAGAGAGAGAGAGAGGGGAAAGGGAGAGAAACGGACAGAGAGAGAGAGAGAGAAGAGAGCGAGGAGAGGTGAGAGAGAGAGAGAGAGGGAGAGAGGGAGAGAGAGAGAGGGAGGAAGAGAGAGAGAGAATAACCAAAACCCCAAACAGGTCTGTTTTAGGCATCACGATAAGCAAGTCCCCTCCACCTTGGCCTTTACAAGAAAAGTAACTTTGAAAAGACCAGTCCACTTTTTGTTTCCTGTTTGTCTGTTTTTCTACCCTTTTCTGTCTATAAAACCAACCTCCTCTGCTTGGCTCATTGGAATAATCATTCTATCTTCTAGACAGGTGTTGCCTGATTCTAGAATCACAAATAAAAACCAATTTGTAATCTTAAAAAAAAATAATAAAGGAGAGACTCTCCGAGAGGAAGCCTGTGATACCGTCGCCAGCACTGAAGTGTGAGAGAGGAGCGTTTGCTGAGTACCTCTTGGATGTCAGCACTTTCACAGGCTGCTACTCTAAACCCTCACAACTGCTGATCAAGCTGTAAGGTACACTTACTATACTCATGAGCAAATGAGATTCAGAAAAGTGAAGTGACTTTCCCAGGGTCAAACAGGAATTGAGTGGAACAGGCAGAATTTGAGTCCTGGTCTGGCTGCTCCCACTACTTGGCTTCTACACCCTGTGCGTGTCTTCTGTGAGCTCCCACTGAAGCCAGCTAACAAGCTGACCCTGCTGCCCTTTGACCAAACTCTTGTGGCTTCAGTGGATTCCCTAAACTTGAATCCATCCCTGTGGGCAGGGACTGAATGGTGTTGGAGGCAGGATGGTATTACCGAGGCAAAGTTCAGTGTGGACTCCTAACTTGGCTTTTATAACCAGCACAGTTAAGTGTTTACAGGTGTTAGTTGCTGTTATTATTACTATATCCAAAATCAACCTAATCTCTTCTATGTTTTTAAAAAATTGTGTTCTTTTTTTTTGAAAAAAAAAAATACAAATGGAATACACTATCATTAAAGAAAATCTGAGATATTCTGTGAAAACATTAGAAAGAAGATAAAATTCACTGTCCTCTCAGAGATAATCACTGTTGACCTATTACTGTAAGTTCTCACAGTGTTTATTCTCTCAGCATATATAAATATTTTTCTCTGACACAATTTGCATCATATATTATATATTTAAACATTTAGAATTTTCCCATATAATTAAATTTCTTCAAAAATATGACGGAAAAAACTTCATAGGATTTAATTATATGGATTTACTTAGAATTTCTTTAACAGATACACCATTGTTAACCATTTAGGCTTCCAAAGTTTTGCCATATAAATAAAACTGTGATGAAATTCTTCTACTCAGGGTACAAAATAAACCTGCAAAAGACAGTCACATCCCTATACACCAACAATAAACAGACAGAAACCCGAATAAAAAGCACAATCCCATTCACAATAACCACAAAAAATGAAATCTCTTGTTATCTTCCTAACCAGAGAAGTGAAAGGCCTTTACAATGAAAACTAGAAAACATTGCTCTAAAAAATCAAAGAAGATACAAACAAATAGAAGAATATTCCATGCTCATGAATTAACATTGTTAAGATGGACAACCTACTCAAGGCAATCTACAGATTCAACATAATACCCATTAAATTACCAATGTCATTCTTCTCAGACCTGGAAAAAATACAGAAATTAATATGGAAATATAAAAGACAACGAATAGCCAAAACAATCCTTAGCATAAGAGACAAAGCAGGAGATATCATACTTCCAGCCTTCAAACTCCACTATAAAACTACAATAATCAACACAACCAGGTATTGGTACAAGAACAATAAGACAATCTGAATTGGTATAGACCGGTGGAACAGGATAGAGAGATTCTGGAAGCAAAACTTCAATTTCTTTTTTTTTTTTTTGAGTTGGAGTCTCACTCTGTCGCCCAAACTGGAGTGCAGTGGCCGCTCCCGGCCACTGCAGCCTCGACCTCCTGGGCTCCGGAGATCCTTCCGCCTCAGCCTTCCAAGTAGCTGGAATTACAGGCATGCGCTACCATGCTCGGCTGATTTTTTTTGATTTATTGTAGAGATGAGGTCTCGCTGTTCAGGCGGGTCTCGAACCCGCGGGCTCAGGCAATCCACTCACCTCAGCCTCCCAAAGGCACGGGATTACAGGCTGAGCCACTGAGCCTGGCTAAAACTTCAATTTCTTAACCAACTCATCTTTGACAAAGCCTCCACCAACAACCAATGGGGAGAGGAGAACCTATTCAGTAAATGGTGCTGGGGAAACTGGCTGACCACTTGTAGAAGACTGAAACAGAACCCCTACCTATCACCATACACAAAAATCAACTCTAAATGGATCAAAGATCTAAATGTAAAACCTCAACCTATAAGAATCCTAGGAGAAAATGTAGGAAACACCCTTATGGAAATTGGAATAGGCAACCAATTCCTGATCAACTCTCCAAAAGCAAATGTCATAAGAGATAAGATAGAAAAGTGGAACCTCATCAAACGGAAATGCTTCTGTAAAGCAAAAGAAACCATCAAGAGAGTAGGGAGAACAGCCTACAGAATGGGAAAAAATATTTGCCAATTGTGAATCTGACAAAGGCCCAACAGCTAGGATCTACAAGGAACTCAAGTGTGCCAAAAGAAAAAAAGCAAATAACCCTATTAAAAAATGGACAAAAGATTTGTGTAGACACTTCTCAGAAGAAGACATATGAGCAGCTACCAGATACATGAAAAAGTGATCAACCTCACTAATCATCAAAGAAATGCAAATGAAAACCACACTGAGATACCACCTAACTCCAGTCAGGATGGCCATCATCAATAACTCACAAAACAACAGATGCTGGAGAGGATGTGGTAAAAAGGGAACACTCTACATTGTTGGTGGGAATGTAAACTAGTACAACCTCTGTGGAAAATAGTGTGGCAATTTCTAAAAGATCTAAAAATTGACCTTCCATATGACCCAGTAATCCTCCTTCTGGAAATATACCTGGAGGAACTCAAATCACTTGATAAAAAAAGATACCCGCATACACATGTTTATTGCAGCATTATTCACAATAGCAAAAACATGGAACTAACCATGCTGCCCATGGAAAGTGAACTGGATAAAGAAAATGTGGTACATTTACACAATGT